AAAAAAGGAATATCTTCATAACACGTCTATGTATATACAGTAGATATATCAACGCTTCCTTCTCTTCAGTCTTCTGCAACTCTTTAATCAGCTCCTTTTCTCAGATATAAATCCTCGACTAGAATGTCAGATACACCAACAAAAGCTAGCGCCATCAGAAGGGATGAAAAACACAGTCAATGTCGTATTTGAAACAGTTACTGAAAAGATCCATCAAGATCCGGTCACGGGAATCCATGCCCTAGTCGAATCGAAAGCGGCCTACTTCAGCATCAACTTTAGTATCGAAAGCACCTGTCACAGTCACATCCGTGATCTCCTCCTCGATCGCCTAATGATTCATCGTTGGTCAAGCAGTATCTTAGCCTCACACATCGCTTCTGCTGCAAACAACTTAGGTTTTGGCGTTAACGGCTTCGTTATAACCTTGCTCTTGACTGTAACGAAGCGGAAATATGTTGTGTCATCCGAGTCTGTGCTTCAGTTTCAGAGGCTGGTTTGTGAGGGATCGATCGATGGACATGAACTGAAGAGATTGAAGATGGAAGCAGAACCGTGTTCCATCTGTCTGGAGCATCTCTCGGGTTCCAAGACCGGTGGTGTTCCACACGTCTGCCATGCTCGCATGTCTTCCACGACCGCTGTCTCTTGAAGTGGTTCTCCCGCAAAAATACTTGCCCCATGTGCCGGAGAGTACTTGTTTCTGAATGATAGAAGTTTTACAGTACGTATTTCTGCTAACATGCAACGTTGTAAGAGAAAATTTAACATCTAAACCCAAAAAAAAAGGGTGTGCTGGAGAAATAGTACATTTTTTAAACATAATTATAAAACTAGTACAAACACTATTTACAATTAGGAAACTAGTACATTATCACTATTTGATACTATTTCATGTACACTTAATCACTCAGAAAAACATAGTATTTACGAGTCTGCCATTGAAATAATTATATAATATAATTCGTACAACATATTTACTGTACATACATACAAAATTATGTTTTTGTACAGTAATAAAAATATTACATAATATCATCCGTACAGCGTATTAGTGTACAAATATGTATAAATATGCATATTTTGGTATACTATACTAGCTGTACGGATAAAAATGAGTAACTTTTTACATATATTCGTACATTTAATAAGTTGTACAGATACGGCTGTACATATTTATGTATGGATACGTCTGTACATATACTAAATTGTACAAAAAAACATTTGTACATATGCTAAACTGTACAAATAAATATTTATTTATTAAAAATTTTAAAATTTATTAGCAAAATGAATATCAAATTATAGAGAAAAAAACAAAGATTTTTATGTGTCAAAAATATTATTGATATTGTTTTTACAAAAAAATAGTATGTTACTTATAAAAATTTTGGGGTGATAAGACTAAGAGGAAAAAAAATGAAAAAAAAAAAAAAAAAAAACAAAATCCAGAGAAAAAATATTGCCCCTAACGTCATTTTTTTTTCTCTCTTTTTTCCTATCTCATATTTTTTATATCTCACATTGTAGGTACACATGACTACTTTCCTAATTATAAATAGTATATGTATTACTTTCCCAATTATTTTTTAAAAATGTACTATAATTCCTATTAATCCAAAAAAAAAAAGAACGTTGTAAGAGAAAGTGCATAAATTTTATATATTGCTTCACTAAATCAAGTTTTCTCATCATTCTGATTTGATAAAATAAAAAAAACCCCACAAAAGATCAGCTTTATGCACACTTCCTTTGTATATCGCACCCACAACCTTGGAGATACTCCCAAATTCATGTTTATAATTTTAACTTTAAAGCTTTACTAAACCGGAATGTGGAGACTTAATTATGATTGATTGAGCCAAGTAAAAATGGTACCGGTTTGTTGATTGAATCTTCACACAACACATGCATGGCATAAATCGACGATAACATATAACTAGCTAGATATCCTTTTTAGCTGTCTCCAAGAAATCAACTCTCTCTTCTTGATATTTTTGTCGAACTTGAATCACGAATGCGAGACAATACACATAGTAGTAAAAACAAAATTAAGTAAAAAGCTTCAAAAATTCAAAACTTGATTGGTAATCCTCAGACCATTCATCAACTGCGTACTCCCCCTGCAAGAACCAGAGAATATAAGTCATAAAAAGTGACAAGTGAAGGACACGAAGCAAGCTTGATATATAGAGATATTAGCCCTTGGTTACCTAATCATTTTGTTTCAACGCCTATGGGTTTTTCCATTGCCTCTTTTCCCTGAAAACAAATGTTTTGGTCTAAGAGATGGTATAACTCTGTCTGCTTCTCCACAACGTGCAGCTTTGTCCCTCTTTCTGTGAGACTTATTCCCAATCTTAATTGCCTTAATCTTCTGTAAAGAATCTTTGATGCCTTCACCAGGTAAAACCTCATGTGGTGGCCTTGACACTGATCTTGATCTTGAAAAAGATGTTGATTTAGATCTCAGACACAACTTCTTCTTCTGTTGCTCATGATCGTTCACCTCATCATCCATATCCATCGCATCATCATATCTTTCCCTCTTTCTGCCTCTTGCACGGTTCAAAGCAGAAGACGGATCAAGACCCAGAGATGATAACTCTCTACTCATTCTCTTCCTTGTAAACTTTTTATCCTTGTCAAACTTTCTTGGAACAGTTGCTCTGTTTTTTGCATTGCTCTTCTTGAGTCTATGGTTTTGAATGAGCAAGGCTCTCGTCTTACGCATAGCAGCCAAATCATTCTTCTCCTTCTCTGTAAGTTCTTCTCCTTCAATCTCGAAACCATTTTCTGCTTCCTCTGCCTGCCTGAGACTTTCTTCACTTGTCAACTCCTCGAGCCTATTCAAAATGTCTGAATCAACAAAGTCTGCAACATTATGACCATCACAGATCTCAGGTATTATGTCATCCTTCCATTCTTCTTTTGCCAAGATGTAGGTCTTCTTTAGACTAGCAGAATAAACACCAGCTCCGCCATTTTCATTTTCCAAGTCCTTCTCTGTCTTTCGTTTCTCCTTTTCACCAGCTTCCTTGGCTAGCTGAGGTGTGCAAGGGAGCCTTTCTTGGTCATCACGAGCCTTCGGCATGGCCACATGGAACCTGTGCAAGTGGTCAATGATCTTTCTAGATTTCATCTTCGCCTCTACCCTATGATCTAACAGCATTTGACAGGCAGCATTCCTCACTGACATGATACCTTCGTCGGTCAGAGTACTCATCTTCAAAAGCACTGTTTCTTCATTGGCTCCCACTGCAGTCCTCATAGCTTCATCTTTCATCTCTTCAATCAGTTTCTTATCTTCTTCAGATAACTTCTCCACAGGCATCAAATCAGTCTTGTTGCAGACAATAACCAACGGTTTGTTCTTCAACGCAGACTTTATGTTGTGAAAAAGAGAAGCCTGCTGAGCAATGGTGTAACCACAAGAACCGGAAATGTCCAGAAAGAACAAAACAGCAGCTCGAAGATGAGCCAAGGCGGTGATACTACACATTTCAATGATATTACGGTCTTCAATGTCCCTATCTAAAAGCCCCGGTGTATCAATCACCTGGTACCTCAAACATTTGTAATCAGTATGACCAAGAAAGAGTGACTTCGTGGTGAAAGCATATGGTTGAACATCCACATCAGCCCTAGTAACTTTGTTCATAAAAGAACTCTTTCCCACATTAGGACATCCACAAATCAAGATAGCCTCGCCATGTGCTGTCTTACCTGCTCAAGATAACCCAAACTAGGACCGATTCCTTTGATAACAGTACACATACGCCCAAGAGCTGCCACTTTTAAGCACTTGCACCGGTACAGAGTATCACCATACTTAACTAGCTTCACATAATCAGTGGCGATTTGGCTGATCTTATTCCTAGCGGTATTGACTTGACCAAGAGCGAGCTTGTAGTGATCTTTATTGTAAAGAACATGTAGAAGATCGTCATAGAAGGGGTGAATCTCCTTGAGGCGAGGAAATTCGTCGATGATGGCAGAGAGCTTCTCGTTGAAGTTCGATTGTGTGAACTTCACTTTCATCATATAGAAGCTACGGAGATTGCTGATCTTGTCACCCTTGTGAACAACAGTTTTTGTCTGGCGCTGAGTGCGGGAAAGAACGATATCAACAAGCTGTTTTCCATCAGGCACAACTGTTATCTTCTTGAAATTATATTTCACCATTGTTTTTTCTTATCTGATCTGCACAACATTGAATAAACGAATTAGTTAGGGAAATGAAGAGATCATCAAAAGGAACAACAAGCAAGGATAATGATGCTATGCTAAAAACATTCACGTCATATCAGATGCCAAGACTTCGATCCTTAATCTTAAAACGTCAGCTAAATCATTAGAATAAAGTTCGATTTTCTGATCTTAAAACGTTACTGTCACTGTCACAGCTCAACAACAACCTAGTTGCCATGCATAACTATTTAACAGTAACATTTAGGTTTATATATCAATCTCTCTACGACAAATTTCGTTGAACTTCGAGATCCTTACAAACCTTTGGACAACGAAGAAAAGAGAGAGAGCTCACAGTACTATGAGGAGAATGAGAGACGGTGAAGGAGTTTAGAGAACGCTAATTTGTCTGCCCTAATTTAACCTGTAAATTAGGGTTTAGAATAGAAATACTGCAAGAACATCTATTAAAATTTAATTAAAACACAAATTGTTCTGGAGAATATCATTTAAACCCTTTTGTTTTACAAATTGCAAAATTAAGTTTAAAAAAAAAAAAAAAATTATGTTGCCATTTGGTTCGACCTTCCGAGGGCTAATCCTAAGCCATTTTAACTATTTTCAGCCTTTCAGAGTTAAAAATAAATAATACAACGGTTGACCAAGTATTATTTATTAACTTTTAAACCCCCATAATTTTGTGATTTCGTAAACTAGCCCTGGAAGCTCAAATACAAACAGCATAGGGGTGCTAAGAAAAATGGATGCCAACAAAAGTTGATAAGAAGAAAACAAAAATCAAACAGACATTTGACTTATGAGAGACTAAACTCTTTTTAGCTGCCAACACATATATGTGTGTGATAATATGAATATCTATCTACAAAGAAGACAAAACAGTAGTACATTCATCCAATCACTGGTCTTAAACTAAGAATAATATGGGTAACTTAGTCCCAGAAAACGGGACTCAATACTTCTTGGGACATCCACCGAGACTCCGAGAGTTCTTCTGGATCGATAGGTTTCCTAAAGAGATGCAGACAATAAAAGAAAAAAAAGAACATAACGATCAGAATATAACCAATAAAAACATAACTTCTGTCATAGTTTAAGAGAAAAAGTATCAGCATGTCTACCCATAAACTGACCCTTCTACATCAGAGTTGTTTCTAACTCAATAATAACAAAAATTCGACAAAATGTTCACGAAAATATAAATATCTTTCTTTTGCTTTTCCAAGAGTTTTAACTCTTCCCGAGTAAAGTTTCTCACTTTCTCCATAATGATATTGGTATTGCATACGACAAGTGAACCTATCTAGCATAGAATTAAGGGAGCAAAAGTGTAAGATGAAGATTAATCATAAAAGCTAGCCTTGAGTGACTCACAAGTGAACCTTCTGAAAGACTCTGTCTCATGGAAACACTCCCCACTTGGCCTCCACGAGCCTGGATATTGGATAACCTTTGCAACTTATTAATCCACTCGTTTTTATCGCCTACACTCAGCCTTCAGCACAAGAGCATTATGAGCTGCAACATAATACTTTGAGGAAAAGCTCATAAAAGTGCACATAGAAGCTTAAAAAGTTCGAATTCTGATAATGATTGATTTATGTACCTTTTAAGTCAGTCTTCTAGGGAACCTTGCAGGTTATTTTAAACACAAGGCCTGGTCCTTTTGAATCAACACCAGAAGGATATACATTTCAAAATGCTAACATTTTCAGTGTTCTCATTCAGAACGAACCACCGCCTACTCCATCACCATTTGTCTTTGCACTTTTCTTCATTAAAACCCTAAATGAAAAGAGTAATTATTTGTTATCTACCTTGGAAGTTAGATTTATCAAAGTTTAAGTCATGAAGCAGAAAAAGACATGAAGAAATCATGCACTTGAGATAAGAGAAAAGGCTTGCAGAAATAAAATCATGCAACGTAAGGACAGTAGATCGGGAGCAAAATGCAAAATGAAAATTTTAAACAGCAATTGGGTAGATGTATACTATGATAACAACCTGCTGTTATCTCCCCCTCAGGTGCAGCAGGTCTATCTTTATCGTGTGAACTAAGTTTGTCTTTCATTGATTTTAAGCTACCACCAGCTGTTGGTCCATCTGGCCTGATAAACATGCAGGAAAATTTCTACATTAAATACTTTCATGTAAAATAACGATTAAAGCATTTTCCACTACACGGAACCAAATTGATTAGAATGAAGACACACCCTGCTTAAAGGGACTGCCCTACATCTTGTCCCTTCTTAGAAGATCGTCTTTTCAGCTCTTCCTCGCAACGTTGTCTTCCCATTCTGATGGAGTCAATAAAGTGCATCGTCAGAAAGAGAATTGATTATCAGTCCTGTACCTTTAAGAAAACAAACTAAAAAAGCAAAGCAAGGTAAGCCAAAATACCTTCACTTTTCTCATTCCCTTCTCCTTTCTCAGAAAACAATTCACAAGGAGTTGCAGCTGGGTCTAGTTCCAGAAAACCTTCTGGTGCATTATCTGCTTCTTTCCCTGTAAGAATGTAATGAGGCACCTGGTGGGAGAATCTAAACATTTCTTCCTTTGGAATCTCCCTCACATCGTTTCCATCTGTGCTTCTGCGGAAAACTACCCTTAATCCTTCAGCTTTGAGTAAGAGAGTCACAGTGAGACTTTGTTTGTCTTCAGTATAGTCATCAAGAACTTCCACCATCTCATACTTGTGTTTAATTTCATCAGGGGTATTCTTGTCCCACTCAGGAGACCAATTTCGATACAATGCCCAAACTTGTCCCTTTTTGGGAAGAATATGCAGGAGTCCTCGTGCACCTTTGGTGAAATCAACTTTGTGAGAAAAGGCGTTTAGAGTATCTGTAGATTCATATCTCCCTGACCTAAAATCCCCACATGTTTTAGCAAAACCAGCGCCTATCCAGTCTATAGGACCAAATTCACTGGTGCTTCTGGAATTGAGCCAGCTGATTTTCATCTTAAACGGTTTCAAAGAAATCACCTTTTGTATGCGGGCATAAAACCGAGGCATTCCGTCGTCATCGTCATAGGCAGCCCAAATTTGGTCATCTTTGAAAGAACTTTCAGATCGGTCAAGATCAAAGTTGTGAAAGTCTGAATCTGGAACAATGATTGTCTTCACTTCATCATCCTTCTCTTCATCTGAAACATGGGAAATTTCCTCAACTGACCTTTCAACATCATTTGCCCTGCCACTCAACTTGCTCGTTGCCTTAATACTTTTCTTCTCCCCATCAGTTGCCCTAACCTTTGCTTCCGTTACAGAGATCATCTTTCGAAGTCTCTTAAAAATTTCTGCCTGGCCTCTTTCTATAAGAGCTTTGGTTATATCACAAGGTAACAACATTCCTTGTACATGAGGAAGACGAGAGCCTAAGATGTTGGGCGTTTCAGTATTTCCATTGGCAACATTCCTTCCACCTGTTTGATTGCCTGCAAATTGACCACGCATGTGGAAATTGTCTGTCTTCGGCCTCTTGAAATTCCTCAAATCAGAGTTTGTGAATCCTCTAGCAGCATCCCTTTCTTGTGACTCCCCAAGCTCTCTTTTCACTTGTGCTTGTTGAACTAGACTCGCAGCTTCACTTCGGCTGTTGAAACCAGCCATTCTTGATGAAGAATCCCACTGAAAATTATGGTTAACAGATGATGCAGGCTCTCTCCTAGAAGGACCATATTGCTTTTTGTTTGACGCTTGATTTTTGGAACTCCTGTACTGTTGGTTAGATGAAAGGTTGACTGGCGGCTTTGGAACAATTAAAGGTGGAGTTATCTCTTGAGCAACGAAACCATGACTACAGTTTGGACAAAGCAAGGTCTGGTTAAGATAAACCCTTAGATACTCGTATTGTGTGTTGCAGTTGCCGCACTTTGTCCAAAAGGTACTACTCTGCTCTGGCATCGAAGGAACAAAAGCAGGCGAACCCACACGGGATCTATCCATACGGGCAGCGGGCTTAGATCTAGCTTTGGCATTTGGAAGTACATGCTCCCTTACATTTTGAGTCCCGTTAGAAGTTGGCTGGAATGGAGGAATCACGCTCTGTGTGGTTGGAAATCTTTGAGCTTCTTTGCCCCTCTTTATGTTATATTCAAATCGTTTATCCTTGTCAGACAGTAGAGTCCAAGCTTCTGCAACCAGCTGAAACGCACCTTCAGCGCCATTACACTTGTTTTTATCCGGATGGAGCAAAAGAACTAATTTCCGATATTGTTTTTTGACTGCTTCATCATTAGCAAAGGGATCTACACCAAGGATACCATACCAATCAGCTTCTCCGCAGATTTTTTTCTCTCCCGAGATATAAACATCGATAGCCATCAATAATTGTTTCAAACCATCCAGCTCAGGAAACAAATTTTGAGCCTTGTTAGCGAACTTTTTTGCCCCATTGTAGTCTTTTTCTGTAATCTTCCTCTCAGCAATATCCATTGCCCTTTTCGCTTCGTCCTTGTTGCATTCCATGTCCTCGAGAGTTACTCCGTCCCAAACTACAATCCTGTAAGAAGCCTTTAAAATAAAGGATCTGCAACAGACTCCTCAGGATGTTTCGCACCTGTCTCAATGAAAAATTAAAGGACCAAAACAAGCGATTAGATACAGTTTAATGTTTAGAAGCATATCATGTTTAAGTGACCCTAATAGGGAACAGATTCAGTAAAATCAGAAGATTTTAAAGGAGTAGACAAATGTTCCTAGAAAATGATAGATTTGTTTCCACATAAAGGTTTAACTAGCTACAAGGTCCCATGATTTGATATAGATGCAGATCTGTTTTAACAGGGTAAAACCATAAATGCAAATCATTAGCTCAAGAGATTCGATCTGACACGGTGGCATTGGTTCGACATTCCTTCTGTAACACTTCATATTTTTTTTTTAAAAGATAGAGAACCAATCTTTGGACTATGAAATTACGATACCAAAGCCACACAATAAACACAAACAATTTATGCGGCAATCCGCTGAATACAAATTGGCATGCGCAATCCACTGAATACCAAACAGATACACAAGGATCAATGGATCATAAAAGAAAGATCTTGAGAATCTATCAACCTAATGCAATTAAACATCTTAACAACAGGTCAGATCCAGATTTAAATGAAGCCCTCAAAATCTACAACAGCATTTAAACAGTGATGAAGAACCAAAAACTCAATCAAAGCCCCAAAAAACCTAACTATGACCTCAAACTCTAATAAGAGAAAACCTAACCTGAACCAAAATTCACCAGCACACAATCAGAAATCCACAAAATCCCCAGTACCATTTGCATCTCCTAACAACTCGTCGACAACAAATTAAAAACCCTAAAATCATAAATTACTTCCTCAAGCAAAGACGACAAAAAGAAAGTTTCACGAAATCCAAATCGGTTCAAAGACATTGAAATTTACAGACGTTAAAATCCACAAAACCAGAAAGAGAAAGCGAGAGAGATTAAAAAATCAAAATCACCACAAGTGAGGCTTGAGACGGAACTTGGAGAGCTCCAATGGCCGCTGTAAAAGAAGAGAGATTAGATAGAAAGTGATGAAAGAGAGAGAGAGAGAGAGAGGGAGGAGGAAGTAGCGCCTGAGCGGGGCTTATATATCAATGTGTCTACTAAATTCCGTTGAACTTCGAGATCCACACAATTAGACAAACCATGGATGATGAAGAAAAGAGAGAGCTCACCGTAGTAAGAGGAGAATGAGAGGAATTTGAGAGATGGTGAGGGAGTTTGAGAGCTCGAGAGATAGAGAACGCTAATAAGTAAATTAGGGTTAGAAGAGTGTCCCTTTGCCAAATTTCGTGAAATATTATTGCAAGAACATCTATTTTAGAATTTGATTAAAAACACCAATCGTTCTGCTCATATAGTTCGACCGTTCGAGGGCTAATCCGATGCCGTTTTAACTAATTATCAGGCTTTGAATAATTAATAAAAATAAATTCTTGTTTTGCAACCGTATTTGATTATTTTACCAATAAACCCCCAAAATTTGTGATTTTGAAGCCTAGCCCTGGAAAATTCTATTAAGTCACAAATTAAACCGTGGAAGTACTTTGATGATTTAAATTTAGTTGTTTACCCAAACGGTTCAAGATTCAGAAGAATCTCAAATACAAACTTCATTCTTTTTTTTCTTTTTTCTTGTCATCATACAAACTTCATTCTATAACTACTACAGCATAAGTTGCTCAGAAAAATGGATGCCAACAAAAGTTGATAAGAAGAAAACAAAAATTCAAACAGACATTTGACTCATGAGAGACCAAACTCTTTTTAGCTGCCAACACATATATGTGTGTGATAATATGAATATCTATCTACAAAGAAGACAAAACAGTAGTACATTCATCCAATCACTGGTCTTAAACTAAGAAAAATATGGGTAACTTAGTCCCAGAAAACGGGACACTGCGCGCTTCCGGTGTTTTTTTCTTTCTCTTCAGGTTCTAATACCTGTAAGCTGAACCCGTTGGCGGTGGTGCTGGTGGCAACCGATTGGGGGTGGTGCGTCGGTTGCTACCAGAGCCTGGTGATGCTGCATCTCCATTCTGAGCAGGGTCACTGTAGCGACGGCTGTGACCACCAGAACCGTACCTTGACAAAGAGTCTGAGGGTCCATTAGCAGCGGAGTTGAAGGCATTCATCCAGTCGTCCCCTGAAGAACCACCACTTGTTCTTGGGCTACTTTCTGTGGGTCAAGTGATACCAATATATTTAAACCCAAGTTTCATTGAAGATCTTTTACATATTTTCTAAGAAACTGAATCGGTGAATCCGTAACCCTACCAAACAAAACCAAACAGTATTCGCTTTCCATTCATTTCTCTATTTCATAAACCCAAAAACCTAAATGTTCCCAAACCCATAAACAGGAATCCCTATGAAGAACTGTTATATGCAGATGAATTTACCAGTGCTACCATTGTCGGAATAACTTGAAGCAGCAGCTGCTCGGTTGTCGTGAATGCTAAGCTGCCTTGTGAGCTTAGAAAGAAGAGAGGATTGTTTCACGTAACGCTCTCTTCGTCTTTTGACATTTTGATCCTCTTGAATCAATGACTCAATTCTTTCATTGCCTATTGCACTAGAGATCCAATAAAGGAGAGCACAAATAAGCACACCATAACTGAACTGAAATTAGGCACAGGGAAGGAAAAGATATTAAACCTTATAGAACTGTATAGTTGATTCAGCATGTCTTCCTTTGATTTCTCCACTTGACAAAGAACAACAGCCTGTTCATGGTGAATTTACATTGCTTAGTAGCATGACCGAGGAATCTCTGTAGAATAAAAGAGATGGACAAGAAATTTTGGAGCTTTAGAATAAAAATAGTTCACCTTTGGAACATTGGCTGCTAGGCTGTTAAGAACAGCTTCAACATAACCCCGTACTTCTTGGGACATCCACCGGAGTTCCTCTTCTGGATCGATGGGTTTCCTAACCATCTTATCCTGAGAAACAGACAAGACAACAAAAAACGTAAGTATCAGAAAGTAACCACTAAATACATTAAATGCCAAACATAACTTCTGTCAAGTTTAAGAGAAAAAGTATCATCATGCCTACCCATATACTGACCCTTTTACAGCAAAATTGTTTCATACTAAAAAAATATTGCCATATGTTCATTAAAACCTAAATAACTTTCTTTTGCTCTTCCAACAGTTTCAACTCTTCCCGAGTAAAGCTTCTAACTTTCTTCATAGTGATATTGGTATTGCGACAGACTAGTGAACGTATGTAGCAGTTATTTAAGGGAGAGTGACTCACAAGTGAACCCTCTGAAAGACTCTGTCTCATGGACACACTGCCCACTTGGCCTCCACGAGCCTGGATAACCTTTTGCAACTTATTAATCCACTCGTTTTTATCAACTACACTCTCAGCCTTAAGCACAAGAGCATTGTGAGCTGCAACATAATAGTTTGAGGAAAAGCTCATAAAAGTGCGCATAGAAGACTAAGAAGTTTGATTCTGATAATGATATGATTTATGTACCTTTCAGTACAGTCTTGTAAGGAACCTTGCAGGTTATTTTGAATACAAGGCCTGGTCCTTTTGAATCAGGTCCATTTGCCTTCTTATCCTTCGAGCTCTTTGACTTTTCTACTTCGTCCTCGGGAATTTCTTCAATAGTGCATTCCTGAGTGGATTATCAAAGTTTATGAGCAAGTACAATTAGAAATACATGGAAAAATATTATTTATAGAGCATCCAGATTTTCTCATCGATAATAGCGGTTTTGTTATATATTGAAGCATACGTTTTACAATACACAAGTCTGTGTTACTTTACAAGAAGGAACCAGTGTGAGAAAACAACAAGGTGTAGTTGAACTATTATTCTTCTCTATTTTTTTTTAAGTCTTTTCTAATTATAGTTCACCTCAGGCAGAAAATAAAGCATAGGAAGAGAATGATACCTCCAAAGTTATAGTGCCCCGGAAGTTTCTTTCTTCTTGTTTTTTGGTATAGCCAAGCTAGAAAAGGTAAATGGTAAAGCCAGTAAGTAATCACAGTGCTTTCTCTTTTTGCATATTTTGACCAACACGTAAAGGATATACGTTTTAAAATGCTAACCTTTCCAGTTTTCTCATTCAGAACAAACCACCGCCTACTCCATCCATTTGTTTTTGCACTTTTCTTCATTAAGTACCCTAGATGAAAAGAGTAATAATTTGTTATCTACCTTGGAAGTTAGTTTTATCAAAGTTTAAATCATGAAGAAGAAAACAACATGGAGAAATCATGCACTTGGACTAAGAGAAAAGTTTTGCAGAAATAAAATCATGCAACGTAAGGACAGTAGATCGGGAGAAAAAATGCAAAAATGAAATTTCTTTAAACAGCAATTGGGTAGACGTATACTATAATAACAACCTGCTGTTATCTCCCCCTCAGGTCCAGCAGTTTTCAAACCAGAGACCTCCGGCGTCTCTTTATCTTGCGGACTAAGTTTGTCTTTCATTGATTTTAAGCTACCACCAGCTGTTGGTCCATCTGGCTGAGGACTAGTAGCCTGATAAACATGCAGGTATTACAATTTCTACATTAAATACTTTCAGGTAAAATAACTTAAAACGACTAAAATGCATTTTCCAATACACGCCAAATTGTGAATGAAGACACACCCTGCTTAAAAGGGACTGCTCTGCATCTTGTCCCTTCTTAGAAGATCGTCCCTTCAGCTCTTCCTCGCGACGTTGTCTTTCCATTCTGATAACGTCGTCAGAAAGAGAAAATTGATTTTCGGTCATGTACCATTAGGAAAACAAACTAAAAATGCAAAGCGAGGTAAGCCAATATACCTCCTTTGTACAAGACGGATAAAATGTTGAGGTGGTACAAAAGCGCGTTCCATATCAACTAGTGCAACCACCATTTTCTTGGCTTCATTCTTGAAACCATCAAGTGCTGCACTTGCTATAGCTACAACCTGATAGATGAATAGTTAGAAAGGAACACCTATTATCGAAATGCTAAACGCTACTGAATTAAGCAACAAAATACATTGTTACCTCTCGCTTGAAAGGAGGATACCTCCCGAGTCCAGGTGTAGCATTTGCAGAGGCTGAAACTATGTCAACAAGAACTCGGTGAACCTAATCAAAAGTTAAGACCATTTTAGCTCAACAGAGAAATAAGACAGAAGGGAAATCTGGATGCAATGAGTTTTAGAGTAAAAACAAAAAACGTAGCTGAATCTACAGGAGCTATACTAAGACTTATATAAACCAAATAACTGCACTAGAACCAGAGTAAACTTGACAAAACTCAAAACAACAGTTTAAAGAATAAAGTGTCAAAGTGAGACGAGCCATGAACAGTTCATTATGCAGTATATTTCTGAATTCAATCCTACTTTATGCACCTAAGAAACATTTAAATAAGCACACCTCATCTACACAAAGACGTGCCGGGTCTTTAGCCAACTCAAGGACAATCTTTATTAACGATCGCAACCCTTTCTCCGGAGATATAAGATAAGGTTGATAACCATCAGCTTCCAAAACAACCTGACAAATTCAAACATCAATTTGAAAAGTTCAGTCTCAAAACTTTCTGGTGCAGTAAATTTTAGGACGAAAGCAGACACCCACCCTTTTAACATTGTTCAAGTCAAAATGTCTATCCAATGGAAGCTGCTTAATACGGTTGGGGAAATTTCCTTCAAAACTTGCAACAACCTTCCAACCACTTCCCTGAACAAAAGAAAAGTAGAAAATGTTTGAGATAAACATTCACCTTCACTCTCACTATATTCTTAAATTTTCGTCTAAATCTAGTTCGCATATGTAAGAAAGTACTTACTTCACCACCAGCCAAGTGGAGAAGAAATTTGTCTTCAAACTCACGGCAAAGCTCCAAAGCTATAGCCCTTGTGCCTTCGGCACTGTTAACTAGTTGTTCACCAAGCCTCGCTAGCTCATCTTGCACTATTTGAGACTTACCCTGGAGACTGTACAAAGAATTTGAAATTCATATGCGTTCAAGTAACCAATGTCACTATAAACATTTGGAGAGAAGCAATACCCAGACAAGATACTGGGAAGCCTGAGCTTCATTCTGCTACGAATCTGGCTTGCAAGGGTGTCCACCAAGGCAATTCTGCCAAGCTTGCTTTGTGGAGCCCCAGTCAAAATGGACTTAAGACTTTCACTCTCAGCGCGCCAAGCAGTTTCTAAGGAGTTCTCACCACTTCCAGACTGTGCTGAGGCTATTGAAACGGATTGGCCAATGATAGCTACCCATGGAATGTCAGTTGTTTTTGGAGGTCCTTGATTTGAAAGAAGAGCCTGAACAGCTGCAAGGGCTTTCGAGTTCTCTGCTGCCTGGTCAATTTTTCCAATAATGCCTATCGTCCTAGTACCTATATGTAGATAGGAGTGAAGAGAGCTAATGAGGATTTTAAGCACACTGAAGTGATAATAGGCTGGTAAATAACAGTTATTATTAGGTATAAAATAGTAGATAATATAAGATAAGACAGATCGGAAATACTAATGTACTCACTCTCTGGATCATACTCTTTCGCAATCTTCAGGGCCTTGGATGATGAAATCTCAGATGCCTGGCTAGCAGGCACTATAACCAGCAGTATGGCATCGTTGTGTTGCACGTATTCGGAAATCTTGCAAAGATAACGAAGATACAAACGACAATTTCAGAAGGGCAAACATAATAATGACTCTGTGTTAACTTGTCAGGTAAATATAAGGGTACGACAAAGACATTAAGTAGTTCCAAGGCTCACCATTGACTCGTCCACAATTCTCTGGTCCAGTCCAGGAAGATCAACTAATTTCAATGGTGGAGCTGAAATGTAAAGTGTAAGCGCACTATGTTATGATGATTAAAGTAAATTTAATACTAAGATAATGCAGGTCATCTGCCATCACTCATGTTCAAAAGAGTACTATTAATTTTAAAGCTCCGTAAGATATATAATCTGATACCCACCAACTTAAAGCTATAAGCTCTAAACCAATATACTAGATTGAGTATAGAAATGGCAAGATATTAAAGCTGACCAGTTCACTGATATCACACATATATTCATCTGCCCAGTGTGAAAGTAAAACGGTATTTACCTGTGCTGGTACGAAGTTTTAAGTTTATTTCATCACGATTCTTCCCCGAGGCTCCTTTGCTAAGTCTATCTTGTAGAGAATGTCTTAGAGCACCTGCAATATACCCATGTAGAACACAGTATTGATATTAAGAGAACATTGGTCGAATGCTTAATAGCATACATGCATAAAGAGCCTTACATACATTGATAAATTACATATGTTCATAGAGGGAGACTTACTTGCAGAAACTTGTTGAGATTTATTGTCGATTTGCAAGATAATTGCCTTGCTGCTTAAAGAACTCTCCCTGCTCAATTCAATTATTATAGGAGCCCGTGTAGCACCATTCTCACCAGTCGGCTATCCATAGTAAGTGTAGCAAACACAGCAGAGGTAAGTATCATTTTAAAGTATGAGCCAATAATAACCATACAAAATTTCCCATAGATTAAATGTACAATTTACCAGGACTGGATGCCCAATTAGACTGTTGAGAACTGCAGACTTTCCAGCTCCCTGGTTCAATATGCAAAAGGTGATAAGTTACTTATATCAAAATACATCAGCCTTCTCCGGCTTGTTTCACTTGCGCCAGTTCCTCCCGGATTTTGATCTCATATATCCATTAATAAAGAGAAACACAAGAAAATAAAACTCTAGGTCCCAGGAAAAATCGAGAAAAACCTAATCTAGATCCGAAAGATCCACAATATCGCATCGAACATCAACACTAGAACACAGCACAGAACCAACCAAATGGGCGAGCAGGGAGTGAGAGCGATATAACTCACCACATTTCCAAGCGCTACGACGTTGAGGAAAGTGGCCGGGCGCCTCGAAGAAGAGGTCTCGTCAGGATCTTCATCGGCGAGCAGAGACGCCGCCTGTTTCATCGAATCTGAGAGCTGAGACAACTCATCGATCGCCTCCATAGCGACTTGCAAAAGCCCTCCGCAAATCGAGATCGAGTAACCGAATCAAAGTAAGAGATCTGGAGGAAAGAAGGAAGCCACTCGATTGGATCTGACCAGAACCGAAACCGGCGGCGTATTTCCCCGTGAAGAAGAGGGCCGGAATAAGGAATCCGGTCGCGACGATGTTGAGCTAAGATTTTTCGTAGGGGATTTCGTTAGGAAAGGCAGAAATGAGAGAAGACGAGGTCATAAAGAGGACGTAAGAATCACAGAGAGAAAATGAGACAAGATTCAAATTTCAAAAAGAGTTACAAATTTCATATCTTTTCTTTGGAAACTAAAAAAAAAAAAAACTTATTTTTTCTTACTTTTTAATTTTTTTTCAACAGGATACAAATCCTTAATTTTGTTACTTTATAAAAGTATTTACAATTTTCTGCGTAAAAAAGAAAACGAACAATATTAAAATTTATAATCTGTTAGATCCATTCAAAGTAGATTAGATATAATGTTGGAATCCCTCATTACCAAAAAAAAATGTCAAGGTTTCAAATTAAAATGTAACAATGTCTTCACGTGATATCCGATAATGCAAACTGGCATCTTAATCATCGTCAGTTAACGGAAAATGTAACATTAGTTTTCGATTTAGGGGTTTTTATCAAATTTAAATTATTTGTGTGTTAAAATTTTCAAATGTAGCTAAGTTTATGTAGTTTTTTTTAGACATATATCTCAAAGTTTTGTGGATAGATAATATAACACAAACATGGGAAAATTGAACTTTTTAATGTTATTCAAAGTTATAAATCGACTTTTAAGGTTTAACTTATAAGCTAAGACAACAAAATAATTACACAACACGAACACAGCCATTTCCCATTTAATTAGGTAACCAAAAACTTTTTGTAGTTATCATAAAACACAACTCATAAGCTCGTATGTTGGTTTTTAAATTATTGATCTTAGCAACGTAATTTTTGACCTAGATTTTGTGATTCTTTTGTTGATAAATCTCATATCTATCATACCTTCCAACATCTTAGTACTAGTTTGGGCACGGTTACGGTTAATGCGGTTATGGTTAATTAACCACCGGTTAACGGTTATAATTTTTTAACCATAACCTTAATCATTATATATACGGTTAAGACGGTTACGGTTATATACGGTTACGGTTAATTACGGTTACGGTTAAATACGGTTACGGTTATTTGATGATTATTATAATATTAATATTAGAGATAAAATTTTATGAAATATTATTTATTTTACAAGTAAAAAATATATCTGATTTCAATTATTTATAGTGAATTAGTTAAATCTGGGTATTGTATACAGTTATAATATAATTTATTTTAAAATTTTAAATATGCGGTTAACCGAACGTTTAACCGTACGGTTAACCGACGATTAATTACGGTTAATTATGGTTACGGTTAATTAACGGTTACGGTTATTATTATTTTTTAACCGTAACTAATTTACTTTTACGGTTAACGTTTACAATTTTTAACCGTTTTATACGGTTACGGTCCGGTTACGGTTGATAAACGGTACGATTACGGTTAAAAATACGGTTAATGTTAGCTTTTGGTCATGCCTACTTAGGACTAGTTTGGGCCTTTGGCAATGTTGACAATTCTTTGTGATGTATTATTAAAAAAAAAAACACAAACATTGGACATAATAATATTCAAACAATATTTTCCAAGCAATATATATTTGCTAGGCACAGTACTTATCTATACGATGCTGAATTTCATTTTTTCTTTTTTTCGGAAATTTCTGAATATAATTATTGTAGGGGTGATGGTTTTGGAAACTTTTCCACAAAGCTTTAACCCTAAACAAAATTTCATACCAAACAATAAATATCAAACTATGTCAAAAAAAGGAAGAAAAAACTCTTGTATCTATTAAAACACATATCTATCCATGTTTGGCTGAGTAAATAATGCATACAAATTTGTAAAAACGTATTACAGTGTTAAATATATGATAATAAAAATGGATTAGAAATTAGATAATTTAGAATTAATTAACATAGAAAAATGAAATTAACATAGAAAAATGAAATGGTCGGACCAAAGAGTTGACGAGCACTAAACCCACGTCACAATCAAAATTAGTGGGCCCTCGAACCCAATAACTTAAATAACCAATAGGTTACTCACACGTGGTAAGATCTGCGGATTTTGAACTCGTTATGTTTTCGACGTGGAGCTTTAAACTCGATTAAACTAATTAAATTACGCATTAAAATCCAATTAATTTTATTCTTTTATTATAGTTTATATGCATATAAGATCAAAATCAACCACACATAGATTTTCAACTACAAGGAAACAAAAGACCAGATTTGTTTATGTTTCTTCTTCCTCTCTGCTTCGAATTTTCATCTCTGATCTGTTTCAGTCATCGTTTCTCCACTTCCTACGAATATTATACAACAGAGATCTGTATTCCCATTTTTCCCCAGTTACTTTTTTTTTTTTCTTCTTTCCAAAGATCGTTTGATCCTTTGTTACAAAATTAGGAAACTTTCTCCGGAGATTGCAGGAATATGGATTTGTGGTTGCAACAATCAGATTCTCTTTAAAGCATATGAATGTTTCCCTGAAACTTTTTAAATTTTTGGGGAGCAGGAGGGAGAAGAGAAGATCACTGTGTGGGAGAGAAAGATTTGTTTTTTATTTTGTTTGTAAAAAAAACAATGGCGAGAGGAGGGAAAGAGGAAGGAGAAAAGCATATAGGGTTACTAAAGCTGGCTCAAACGCTTTCGTTTTTGCTTATATTTATGGCCGGAATCATCATCGGCCTCGCCGCTAGCTCTCACATCGATCGCTACTTCAATTCTTTGCCCAGGATGTTCTCATCATCCACCCATCTCCAAACGATTCCCTTTTCGACTTCTCCTGATTACTCCAATTGCACTGTCATTCACCGGGATTGCACAGGTAACGACGAGAACGACGACGACCGAGTCAAGGCGGAGAAACCAAAGGATCGAGATTGTTGGACCATTGATGGGTTTGTTCGCCCTCGGAATCTCACACATGGAATGACTGATGACGAGCTGTTCTGGCGAGCTTCCATGGTTCCGGTCAAGGAGGAGTTTCCTTACGATAGGGTTCCTAAAGTTGCCTTCATGTTTCTGACCAGAGGGCCTTTGCCTATGCTTCCGCTCTGGGAGAAGTTTTTTAAAGGCAATGAGAAGCATTTATCTGTTTACGTTCATACGCCTCCTGGATATGACATGAATGTCTCTCGTGATTCTGCGTTTTACGACCGCCAGATCCCGAGCCAGGTACGTCTTGATGCAATCCAGTCAATGCTGTTGTGTTGTGTCTTGCTTATGTTTCTCTGTGGATTCGAACTAAACCAATACATAGTTTTACAAGTGATCTACCTTAGAGTACAAGAATAGAGTATTAGATAAGTAGACGAGCTTTGTAGTGCAGTTTTCCATTTGGAGTTAGAAACTTGGGAACTATCTAGGTAAGTTATGTGGTCTAGTCTCTAGCTCCGGAAATTAACTGGAAATACTGATCCAAGATTTTAGCAGGAACTTGTACCTATCGACACATACTGTTACCAACTCTCATGAATCTTCTAGTTTATTCATGTACTCTGGCATCATTAGCACATCCTGGATGTAGATTTATAGTCATTCTGGATCATAGAGATGTAGTAGTTTAGAGAAACCACATGTAGATCTAATCGGCATGAGAGAAACCAAGTTATACTGGTGCTTGATTACATACTTAGGAAACTAGTTTAGGCATTGGTTGGTGCTTAGGATTTGAACTTTTCATTGAGAGTTGCATCTATTTCCAGGTTGTGTATAGATGAAGATTCGTTACTCTTAGGCATTAGTTTGAGTGGGCCATCTATGTCTTATGCAGCTTCAGGTGGCGACACAGCCTTTAACGTTCATGGGTAATTTTGCTATTATGTTATGATGTGGAACATAGCTGGTTTTTGGATAAGGACTGGGAACAGCTTGAAACGTAGGAGTGAGAGTGGAACTGCTTAGATGTGAATCAGGAAACCAAAACATATCAGTTAATAGAAACATTATATAATTTTCTCGTGTTGATTTAAACATCTTTTGTTGTACTTTTGTTCTCTTTTAATTTCTCGACATGTCACAGTGATCCTGGTAAACTGCACAGACTTCCTTTTTCATGACAATGAAATCGGTTTTGTAAAAATTCTTTGTTTATTCAACCTGGTCCATATCATACTCTGACAATACGTTGATGGATCATGGATAGTTTGTATCATTCTATGCTAGATCTAGTTGATTACAAATCAAGAGAATCTGTTTTGTTTCTGATGTTTTTCTATACTTAATTTTCAGAAAGTTGAATGGGGATCCCCACTATTGACAGACGCAGAGAAGCGTCTTCTAGCCAACGCATTGCTGGACTTCTCAAACGAGCGTTTTGTTCTTCTCTCAGAGAGCTGTGTCCCAGTCTACAACTTTTCAACTGTCTACACTTACCTAATAAACTCTGCTTACAGTTTTGTAGACTCTTATGATGAGCCAACACGTTATGGACGTGGTCGTTACAGCCGCAAGATGCTCCCCGATATCAAACTCCATCACTGGCGCAAAGGGTCACAGTGGTTTGAAGTAAACCGAAAAATCGCCATCTACATCATCTCTGACTCGAAGTACTACTCACTATTCAAACAATTCTGCAGACCAGCTTGTTACCCAGACGAGCATTATATCCCCACTTTCTTAAACATGTTTCACGGTTCAATGAACGCGAATAGAAGCGTGACATGGGTTGATTGGTCCATAGGCGGTCCGCATCCAGCTACATATGCTGCAGCTAATATCACTGAAGGGTTTCTACTATCAATAAGGAAAAACGAGACGGATTGTCTATACAATGAAGAGCCAACTTCGTTATGCTTCCTATTTGCTCGGAAGTTCTCTCCTTCTGCCTTAGCTCCTCTTATGAACCTGAGCTCTACTGTCTTGGGATTTTGAAGAAAAAAAATTTGATTAATTTCTCTTCTTCTTTCTACTTTTATAGGGATGAGATGAGGTTTTCTACGAGATATATACATAGGACTCTTTTTTCTTTTTTTTTGGTTAGTTTGCTTTGGTTATGATCTCTTCATTATTTGGGGTTTTATAGAGATGATCGTGAAGGTCAAGCCTTTTTGTATGTAAGAGCTTTACTTCTGCTGACCTGCGGATGCTAATCTAGTCATAGATTACGAATATATATTCTTTTTCGAAGAAATGAATGATAGAATTACTGATTTTGAATTCCATTACTCTTTAGAAGCTATTGGACACTTCAAGGGAACAATACATACAAGTGAAACAAGAACAACCGTCAACGATCAAGAAAAACGTATTAGATTATGATGTTGAACCTTAAATAATAAGTTTGCAAAAATTGCGACCACAAAGCAAAAGGCAAATTAACTATGAGGAGAATGATGGTTCAGTAGAAGATGCGTCAAACTAATTCCCCAACTCCGCTACCTTCTTTTCATCTCTGTCTTGCAACTCATGGGAGGACCCTGACACCTGTTGTTGAGGGAGATGACTGCCCACAGAGTTTGACCACGATCTCTGATTAGCCACCTGTCCTGGTGCAGGATTTGACCACTGTGACTGTTGATGGCTAGCTGTCTGATCAGACCACTGTTGCTGCCCTGTCCACGCTGACTGCTGGCCAGCTGTCTGATTAGGCCACTGCTGCTGCTGACTGGTTGTCTGATTGCCCCACCGTTGCTGCTGGCTGGTAGTCTGATTAGCCCATGGTTGCTGCTGGGTAGGAGTTTGATTAGGCCATGATTGCTGCTGGGTAGGAGTTTGATTAGGCCATGATTGCTGATGACCACTATTCTGATTGGCCCCTGGTTGCTGCTGGTTAGCCCACGATTGCTGATGACCAGTGTTATGATTACCCCACTGTTGCTGCTGGCCAGGCGTCTGATTAGCCCCTAGATGCTGTTGACCTGAAGGACTTGACCAACCCTGATGCTGAGACCAAGACTGCTGCTGTTGATATCCTGGTGCCTGACTCGACCATGATTGTGGCTGTTGCCCTCCTGTCTGATTAGACCACGATTGCTGCTGCTGGTTAACTGAAGTGTTGGACCACGACGGATTCTGGCCATTATTAGCCTTGTAAGTTCCTCCTGCTGTTTGACCTGCAGTTCCATTGCCCCAACCTGAATTTGGCAGCCCCGTCCCTTGGCTCGGCCATGAGGTCCTGTCTCTAGGCTGCTGGGGAGCTGCAAGTGTGGTTCCAAACACGCCGGTTACACTAGGTGGAGTGTTATCAATTTTCCCAAAGTTTCTAACAGGCCGGGCAACCGAATTTAAGGTTTTCTCAATCTCCTCACGACGTCCCGCTTTTTCAAAAACCTCGATGATGAATTCCCGCAGCACCGGAGTAACCCCAACATTATGTCCAACCATCTGACCAATAATGTCCTTGGCTTCGTCAAGTGCACCACCATCACAAAGCCCTCTAACCACAACATCATAAATCGAAGGATCTGGTTTCGGTTCCTTCTCTCCCATCTTAGTCAAAACTTCAGCAGATTCCGTGAACTTACCATTCTTAATCAGCTCACCAAAGACCCTCGTACCAAAATCAGCAACCACCCTTAGATTCACATCCACCATCCTGTTCAACATCTGGAGAGCATCGTCGATTCTCTCTGCCTTGAGATAAGCATCGATCATTGCTCTATGGCTTGGAGCATCAGCAGGCAAAGATTTAGACACGCCTTCAGCAAAGAACTTTTCAGCCTCTGTTAACATCCCTTGTTCACAGAATCTCGTGACTATGTTACAGTAACCAACATAATCCATCACAAACGGTTTGGAGGTGGGCTTACTTCCGACCTTCTTGAATGTATTAATCGCTTCGCTAAACTCTCCCATCTTGAAACATTCATTGACCATTAAACAAACCGTCTCCGAATTCACGGAAAGGATATTCGGAGGAGTGTGATTATCCAGCATCTCATTGAATAAAGCCCAAGCTTCTGCCTTCTTACCATACTTAAGAAAAACTTCCAAAAGAACATTCCCAGTTGGCGGATGCATTCTAAATTTCTTATCTAACAAAGACATGTAGGACTCCATGGCTTCCTTATCATTTCCTTTCTCGAACCAGTACTCCATAAAGGTCGCATTCACAATCCCATCATAAACAGTACACTTAGACTTCAATTCATCAAAGAACTCATTAGCCTTATCTAAATCACCAAGTTCCAAATACCCCTTGATCAGATTGCTGTACACCATCGAATCCGCAGCTTGACCTTTACTCAACATCTCCCGTAATAAACTCGCAGCATCTCCAATCCTTCCAGCTTGAACCAAACCTTTGGTCAAATGTCTATAAGTAACTGAGGATGGAGCAAAAGGAGCATTAGCCAATATGTGGCGGTAAACTTCAAGAGCTTCATCCACATGCCCTTCGTCACAATGAGCGTTGATGATCTGATTGTAAGAGACTACATTGGGAACGATGTTAGACTGCTTGAAGAAGTACTGAAACAGAGAAATCGAATCACTATAACGCTTGGCTCGATACATAGCGGCTATGATAGCGTTACAGGTGAACACGGTGGGTCGCGTATTCGAAAACACAGACTGGCGAGCAAGGCGTGACGCAGCGTCGAGATCCGATGCTCTGATCAGCGACTGGACTCTGTTGTGAAGGTTAAGCCTTTGGCCGACGAGTGCGGAGGTTGAGTCCGGAAGCCGTGGCGCGTTTGGATCACGTTTTGGATGAGGAGCCGAAGGATCTCGTCGGAGAGCGTGAAGAGGAGGTTCAATTCGGAGACGACGTTTGCGGCGGCGGCGTTCAGCTGCGGCTTCTTCGGCTGACGAGAAGGACATGGTGCGCTGCGGGATCGGTGGATAGGGAATCGGAGGTATATGATTCTGAGGAATCTGGAATTGAGAAGGATCATTGGCTGGAATTGGATTAGAGTTTGGGTTTGTCTCTGAAACCTGATTATAACCAGTGTTCGTCTGCGGATCTTCATTTTCCGGGGAAAGTGAGATGTTGTGGATTCGTTGGTGGAGGAACGAGATCGAAAGAGGGCTACGAGAAGTGGTGGTGGTGGTACAGATACGGCGGAGGAGGTGAGTGAGAGACATGGTGGAAGTAAAATGATTTAGGGTTTTAGAGGTAGAGAGTAAGACGAAACCAAAGACAATGGTGGGAGTGGAAGATGGACAAAGCTCGTAGCTTAAACCCTTGGATGTGAAGAAAGAAATGCGACTTATGTACAAGTGAACCGAATAACCCTGAAACGACGACGTTGTACTTTCCGAGGGGCTGTTTGGGAAATAGGTGTAAAGTTATTCTAAAGACGGAGTAGAGAAGGCGTAAGATAACAAGATGCGCAGGAGAAAGGAATAGGATTATTGTCACCTCCCTGCGCAAATTAGGGCTTCTCCTTCGCAAGACTGTGTATGTTCGTCACTCCTAGCTTAAAATCAGTACTCTCTCTCTCTCTCTCCATCCCTAACTTTTGCAACTTCTCTGTTTATATTCTCTTGACACATTTTTGTATGAAGAGCCATCATTGTTTTAAGAAGATGAACGAAATTGGAATTCGGATCATGCCATGTTCATTGAAAATTTATGCTCTTGTAATGAATTTAACTTTTCAAGGACAGAGATTCTCGAGTTTCAAATTTCTTCAGCAAAAGTATTGAAAACCCATCTTGTGCTGGCCATTGGTCGGCATCCAAAATGTGCTTAGCTCGGAAAATTCGAATTGAGTAGCTTTCGAAATCTCTAAATTACATTAAAGTTTCAATCTTTATGCTATTTTTTTTTTTTTGAATTATGAATCTTTCTAGCTTCGTACTCATGAGTTAGAGCTTGTTATCGATGTAAAGTGGCATTGTGATTTCTTAAGTATCAATTGGTTGCTTTGCACATTCATTTTACGAGTAGAACTGCTTCTAATTTGAGGATTTTTTAAGTTAAGATGATTCTGTGAAGTCATGTATCTGCTTCCTATTCCACAAGACGATAACTTCATCTGTATACTAGAAGTCATCTTAAACATTTATAAATCAATTCATTGGATGTTATCCGGTTTATATCAGTGCTCTTTGAATGGATTCATTTTCAGCTATGGTTTGAGATAATTGGTTATAATATTCTCGATTCAGCACGTTGCTTTGATTTCCTGCTCCAGAATGAGGTTTTTTACCGATTGCATCTTGGTTCCAAAGTGAGGTTTTTTACCGATTGCACCTTGGTAATGGTACATACTCAAGAAGATAACAGTGCTGTTGTTATGTGCTTGTCAGGCAAAGTGCTGAATATACCTAAGGAGCAAAATGTCAGATGATGCTGGACAGATGTTGCTCATCTATGATGATCCCTCAGATCAGCGATCCCTGTCTTTGGAAGATGCCAGCAGTACTGAGGAATCTCCAGACGGGACCACTCTCTCTTTAGAAGCAGTTCACGATGCCATTCCATATAACGGACAAAGATTCCTTACACATGATGCTGCTTACGAGTTCTACAGTACATTTGCAAAGCGTTGCGGGTTCTCCATACGTCGCCACAGGACAGAAGGAAAAGATGGAGTTGGCAAAGGACTTACCAGGCGGTACTTTGTTTGCCATCGTGCTGGTAACACACCTGTCAAAACTCTAAGTGAAGGAAAACCACAGAGAAACAGAAGATCTTCTCGATGCGGATGTCAAGCATACTTGAGGATTAGTAAAATTACTGAGTTAGGTTCAACTGAATGGCTTGTTACGGGATTTGCTAATCACCACAATCATGAACTCCTAGAACCAAATCAAGTTCGTTTTCTTCCTGCATACAGGTCCATATCAGATGCAGATAAAAGTCGGATTTTGATGTTTTCAAAGACTGGAATTTCAGTTCAGCAGATGATGAAGCTCATGGAGCTTGAGAAGTGTGTCGAGCCAGGCTTTTTACCATTCACTGAAAAGGATGTTAGAAATTTGCTTCAGTCATTCAAGAAACTTGATCCTGAGGATGAGAACATCGATTTCTTGAGGATGTGCCAAAGCATAAAGGAGAAAGACCCTAACTTTAAGTTCGAGTTTACTTTAGATGCAAATGATAAGTTGGAAAACATTGCCTGGTCGTATGCTTCTTCCATACAGTCATACGAAATCTTTGGAGATGCTGTAGTTTTCGATACAACACATCGCTTAAGTGCAGTTGAGATGCCACTTGGAATATGGGTTGGAGTTAATAACTATGGTGTGCCTTGCTTCTTTGGTTGTGTGCTTTTACGGGATGAAAATTTGAGATCATGGTCATGGGCGCTACAGGTAACAAAATGGCACACTTAGCTGATAAAGTTCTTTTTCCACTAAATTATGTTTTAGATCCTTTGCAATTGTCTGTGGGTAGGGCAAATAAGCAAAGCAATTTGTATTTGTAGAAGCGCCTATATTCAAAAAGCAAATCAGTTTTGTTTCCACTCTGACATTCTTTTCTTTTTGTCTCATATGAAAGGCATTCATAGGGTTCATGAATGGGAAGGCACCTCAAACGATATTAACAGACAATAACATGTGTCTCAAAGAAGCCATAGCTGGAGAGATGCCAACCACTAAGCATGCACTCTGCATATGGATGGTTGTTGGAAAGTTTCCATCCTGGTTTAATGCTGGTCTTGGGGAGCGGTACAACGACTGGAAAGCTGAATTTTATCGCCTCTACCATCTGGAATCCGTTGAGGAGTTCGAGTTGGGTTGGAGAGACATGGTGAACTCGTTTGGGCTGCACACAAACAGACACATAAACAACTTGTATGCCTCACGTTCCTTGTGGTCTTTACCATATCTGCGAAGCCATTTTTTAGCTGGAATGACTTTGACTGGCCGATCCAAAGCCATTAACGCCTTCATTCAGAGATTCTTGAGCGCACAAACCCGGCTAGCTCACTTTGTAGAACAAGTGTGTTTTCTTCTCCTTCTTACAGTGCTTACTATGCATTAACCCTCATAGTAAGAAGAAGGCTATGGATAGTGAAGTGAGCTATTTTAAGCTCTTAGGCCTTCTATGCATAAATGGTTCAAGCATTTATTTTTGGGGGTTAATGCATTTTATCTCATGAAATGCAACTGCTATTGTGTTGACTTTGCTACTTTGCTTAATTGAGTTATGGATGAATATAGGTGGCTGTTGCTGTGGATTTCAAAGACCAAGCTACAGAACAGCAAACAATGCAGCAGAATCTCCAAAACATCAGCCTAAAAACTGGCGCCCCCATGGAATCTCACGCAGCCTCGGTCCTCACTCCATTCGCCTTCTCCAAACTCCAAGAACAGCTTGTGCTTGCAGCTCACTACGCATCATTCCAGATGGATGACGGGTATCTCGTGAGGCACCATACAAAACTCGATGGAGGAAGAAAAGTCTATTGGGTTCCTCAAGAAGGCATCATAAGCTGCAGTTGCCAACTGTTTGAGTTCTCTGGGTTTCTCTGCAGACACGCACTCCGTGTTCTCTCTACCGGAAACTGTTTTCAGGTCCCGGATAGGTATCTTCCTCTTAGGTGGCGCAGGATCAGTACGTCGTTTAGCAAGACGTTCAGGAGCAATGCTGAGGATCATGGGGAAAGAGTTCAGCTTCTGCAGAATCTGGTATCGACCCTGGTCTCGGAATCAGCTAAATCGAAGGAGAGGCTAGATATTGCAACTGAGCAAACCTCCATCCTCTTATCACGCATCAGAGAGCAGCCAGTCTCTTCACTTGCTCTCCGAGACATTTCTTCTGTGCAGAGGAATTTTTGATACCGCAATGCTATGCGTGTCTAACTATTTTTAGATAAAATTATTACGTTATTTACCTAATCTTACAAGATAACTTTTGTCTCAGATACTTAAAAATATGCAGGCCTAAGAGAAATTAAAAATCAACCTTTTGTTCGACTGAAGACTAAATTATATGTTAATGCATATGACAGAGAGCTCGTCAAATCGAGGGTTCCTGGTTCGAACCACACAATCGGCAAATATTCAATGAGCCTGCAACATAGTAAACAACACTCCATTCAATTTTAGTGGTGTAGTATAATTACATTACAGATCACTTTATGTATTGAATGGGCATACAGATACGGACATTTCACATGCTCTGTTCTTCTGATGCGGACCTGCTAACACGCCATGTATAGTGACTTCAAGCCTCAGAGTCAGACCCATCCATCATACACTCTTTTTACGTATTAGTCCCTCTATAATGAATTAATGATTGATCAAGATTATTATAATCTTTAACATGACTTGGCATCTTAAAAATATCATGCTTATTAGTTAATTATGTAAAAAGGTGGTCAAAACAGACAGGTACATTAAACAATTTCAGCTTATACTATTTGCATAACCAAGTCAAAAAAAAAAACCCGCCTTTTAGCGTTAACACAACTGATTTGTGCATTCAAATTATCCATCTGACTCTGCTATATCTGATGATTACTCATTTGCCGATGTTATTAATTCAACAAGAACATACAGTATATCATACATTACTGTGGAGCCGCCATGAATTCAAACTCTTCAGAAACAACGAAATAGTATTCCCCCCCTAAATGTTGTCCAAATTTGACGAACTCAAAATTCCCGCTAAAAAGATTCCATGATTTTCAGTGAAATCATTTTCACAAAGCCCGAACCTTCTTTACCATATACCAACACAACACATCATCCTCATCTGACCAAAAACAACACACACCAACGCGTGATTTATAAAACGACAACAGAGATACGGTCTCACAACACAATCAGCAGAAAGACCATGACCAATGGCTCCGACGGACACGTGTCCAAAAACCAATTTGTGGATAAGAGAGATTCCAGAACTTTCTGTGGAGCACTGAGATAGATTAATCGGTTTAATTCAAAAACCGGTTTTAGTATCATCAATCAAAACTTACTAAAGAAGAAGAACACTGGTTTTTTTCAAATTAGGGCTTTTCACATGATCGAGAATCGAATCAGAACGCTAACAGAGCAAGAACATTTGGTCAATATCTTAGTACTACACAAAGAACATAACTTGAGACCAAGTCAATCGAGAAAACTAAAAGACCAACCACCATTCACGAATTCTAAAAGGGGCTAAACATAAAAAAACCCTAAAGTTTCGAAACGAAGGATCGAGGAAAAGGTAGTAGGATGACTAATTAAAAGTCCAAGCGTTCTCCCTACGAATCTCTTCTTCTTCCTCAGGAGTGAAATCGTTCTCGATGTTGAAGATCTCTCGGACTTCCTCTGGTGACTTGTCCTTGATGTAGTCCGCAACCGTCTGGCTAGCGAATCCGAGAAGCCCTTCGAAGTTGAGGTAGTTAGCAGCGAGGATGATTTTGAATATCGTCTGCAGATCTAGCTTCTCCACGAACTCAGCGTCCCACTCATCGAGCTTCTTCTTCGCCTCCTCGTCTTCATCTTCCTCAGTCTTACCGGCTTCTCCGACATGCATCTTCCCGTACTCGATTACCAAGGCCAGGATCTCTCCCGTGATGTTCTCTATCGGAATCGCTTTACCGGCGCAGTCATCTTCGATCATGTGCGCTACGATCTGAAACTGACGCGCCACCGCTTCGTCGATCTCGAACGACTCGCCGTCGGAGCTCGTCAGCACAATCTTGTTTCCGGAAGACATTGTTAGACTCGCCACCGCTTCCACAATCTCGGATGAAGACCCGCCGGCGGCGGAGGTACCCGCCAAATTCATTTTCGAAGAAGACGCGCCGGCCAAAATCTTTTTGGAAGAAGACATTGTTAAATCGGAGAAAAATAAATAAGGAACACCTAACAACAACAACAACAACATAAAACCCTCATAAGTCGGTTATTAAAGGCGTAGTGGAGTGAAAAGTGAAAGAAATGGATCAGAATAATGGGCCTGATAAGAAGCCCAAACAAACCTTAGCGGCTTTACTCGACAGGTCCCAGTCCCATTCATCTGATTCCAGAACATTCCGGAGAGAAATTCAAAATTTGGGGAACCAGTTTGGGATTTGATCTCATAATTGATTCGGAACCGGTTTGTAAAAACCGATATCTAACATTTTCAGAAAGTATAAGACCGGATAAACTAAAGACAAAATAAAAATGGTGTCTTCGAGTAAATGATCAATGATGTAATCAAAAATGTTTTAATTCAGATTACATACATAATCGAAGGATTCGTTACAAGAAATTAAAAAAGTGAAATGACTCTCTCAGACATATCAACCATAAGAGGATTATTAGTATGTATTTAGAACTCTTGAGTTCAGATGTGGAAGAAAGCAGCAAAGGCAATGCAAACGACGGCGAGTCCACAGAGAAGAGAGAGGAAGTCGAAGAAGAAACAAGGAGGAGGATGAGTAGCGCGAGCAAAGGCGTGTGCGACCTGAAAGAAGATGTAGGCAGCGGAGGCGTAGGCAAGAGCAGTGGAGAAAGGCTTGCTTGGGTCTGTCTCGTAGACACTCAACCTGTCGTGGAGGAGATAGGAAAGCACGCCGATCAAAGCGGTCCTGGGTATGTGCTCGAAGAACCTCTTGAAAGCCTCTCGGTTTCTTTTGCATTGCTCCTCTTCTTCTTCCTTCATCTTTTCGTTTGTTCTCTCGACAAAAATAGTGTTTTTAGTAAAATCGAAAAGAAACGTCAAAACAATAATGAAGATGACCGGCGGTGACGGTGAGAGAAGTGACAAGTCTGCAATGAACCCTGATGACCGAGTGAGACTAGTAGTCTGTATATATATACATTTATAATTATAATTAAACAAAATTGTTTTAGAAATTTGCCACGTAACTGAAACCAGCTGGGTCTTTTTTTTTTGGGTTTTGTCGCGATTTACAAACAAATGGAACCAATTTCCCGTACGAATCAGCAGCCTCTCTCTATTGCATTTATCACACCTTATTCGTTTTGGTCTTTCGGTCAAATTGACTGCTTTTCTTTACCCAAAATCTTTTGATTATACTAACAAATAGTATCATTATTAGTTTGGTTTGGACACACCGTAACAATCCACTAAACTGCATTATCCCAAGTTTAACTAAATCATGCTCTCTCAAGCATCCATTACCGGTATAGTATATGGTTGTGTTTGTTGTATTCATGCATGCCGTTTTATAAGCTTGTTAAAAAGAATGCATTATATATCAATTATCAAGGGGCAACCATTTTCACATATCCTCTTTAGCTTACATCAAATTTTATATCAAGGGACGACATGGACTCGCATTTATAAAATTTCATTCCATCCTTTGGGCCGGGTTTAAACGGTTCAGATATGAACAAAAAAAAAAAAAAAGTGGCCGAAGAGTGAGCAATAACAACAGCACAATACCGAAGCAAAATCAAATCCACATTAAACCAAAAACCAACATTTGGTCAGTTTCTGTCAAACCATTCAAAACTCGATTACTAAACCGAATGATAGACCTGCGTTAGTGGAGAATTTAATTTCCAAAATCTTTTTTTTTGGTAGGATAATTTCCAAAATCTTTGAAATACACTATTACCTTTTTATTTAATTGCAACATTTAATATATATACCGTCCAGCCGTATCGTGCTATTTCCCTTTAAAAGAAAAACAAACGTGATCGTGAGTATATATAATAAACAAATACAAATAGTACAGGTTGTCTAAAATACAAGTAACCCAAAGCAAACCAAAAAAAAAAGAAAAATTAACATTTACAGATTATCAATTACAACGAAATTTTGTACACGATTGAATCAGGAACACACTTAAACCACGACCTAGAAAATTATATGTTTGAATAGTTACATTTCACTAAAGAGGATAAAAAAAAAAGAGGTTTTAGGTATCTGTTTCAAAACTTAACAAAACAAACAAATCAAGGAAAAAATGTTAGATGAAAAGAATAAAAGAACTTTCACAAACCCAAAAGGAAAAAAAAAACGAGTTTGAAAACTCGTCACCGAGTTTTACCAGGAGCAGCTAGATGCGGAGATTTATTCTTAAGAACAGTTTGGTCACGAGCCTTATTCTCGTTAAACGATGCTGCTCTGTTTTCGATATTAAGTTTCTTCTTTGTCGCGTATGATGATGATCCTCTGTTTCTGCTCTGTTCCTTGATCATTGGAACCAAGTACCAAACAATACAAGTGCACATGATTGAGACGGTTCGTCCGAAAAACGCCAAGAAGATCAGAACCAACACCACTGTCATCGGCAAAAAATGCTTCGGTCTAGAAATCTTCTTCAGATTTTCGTTCAATAATACACATCTCTGTTTCTGCTCTGTTTCTGACTCTGTTCTCTTCGTTTCTTTCTCTTCCTCTGTTTTTGATTCGCTCGCGACCTTGAAATCATCTTGAACATCCTTCTTCTGACCTGCCCTCTTTGTTTTGATCATCACAGGGACGCACTCGCCGGAGCTGGTGAACATAAACCGGACAAGAGGCGGACCATCGGAATCAAGCCTCTTGGCGTAAATGCTCTGTCTTTTCTCATCTAAATCAGATAGAAGTGCGGAGAACTTTTCAAGTCCTTGGTTTGAATAAGGATTCTTGCTTTCTTTGCTTCCTTTTCTCGATCTCCTCGGTGACGAAAAGGGACTCAACATATCTTCAAAACGATTCGGTCTAATCAAGAAGAGATCCTCTGGTTTTTGTTACTAGTTCTTCTTTATGTGTGGAGGAGATTTGAGAAGATGGTTATGGAGGAGTAGATAGGGAAGGATTTAGTATTTTGGACAAGAGAGACGGCTTTATTGTTATCTGTAATAATAAGAGACTTGTCTTAAACTAATTGTGGATTGCTGATTTGACCAGATCTCATTAAATGTGATAAATTGATCAGATCACGTATGTACTTGGACGAATAGAAAGATAAGTTTTCACCTATATAAACAGAAACGTCATCCCAGATGTATTTTGCTGATCCTACTGGTTGACTTCCTTGCGGAAGAAGCTTAAACCTCTTTTTGTTTCGTTGGTTTACCACAAGCAATTGTTAATTAACTTTAGTTTTGACTTGGAAAAACTTAGGAAAAACACAAGTTATTTAACCATCATAAGCAGCAAGTTGGAATATTCATTTGTAAATTTAAATTTCTGATGGGTTTACAAGATTTGGGATTTATATCCTCCAACAAGAAAACGAGTTGTGAAAAGGAAAGTTGATGATACATAGAAGAAGAAAACGAAAGCTTTTTAAGCCTTTAAGGCTTTAACCAAATTGAAGCAACATATCATGTGTGTTGACAAAAAAGAAGAAGAAGCATATCATGTGATTTTGATAAATATATATATGAGGAGGCTACTACTAACACTGTTCACAAGGTGGTTGGAAGGGAAGTGAGAGATTTGGTCAACGCTCGGACAGTTGACCCCTCTCTACTTGTTCGTTACTAAAGTGGTCTTTTATATGTTGGGCTTTATTAAGTAAAGCCCAATTTTATATTTGGCAAACAGATTCATTAGTTTCGGTAACGATCTGTACTGGGTTTTTTTTTTTTTTCTTTTTCTTTTTTTTTGGTAATTGATCGCCTAATTAGCATATCATTCGTTTCTGTCATTTGTGTAGATGTGTCGTAGTACTTTTATTTATAAAGAACTAAAATATATGGCAACACCATATTATTAATTTACGATTTTCCCAGTTTTTGCTTTAAGCCTTTTAACTTTACGTTTCTATCACAAATAGCAGCATATTGAGAGAAAATGTGAGAAGAAAACAGATTTTAAAACGTTTACATACTATAAGAGAGGAGGCCCATGCAGACAGAAAAGGAAAGCCCGTGGCAAAATGATAAATGAAATTTTTTGTTTTGAGTCTTTTAATTAGTACTAGTAAACAAACAAAATAAGGTTAGGTGTTTTGATTAAATAAAGGATGTTAGGTGTCATTATGATCACTCATTCGCTTCAACCAATTATGTCAATTCTACAGCTCATCAAAAAAAACTTTATGGTAAAGCATGTTTCAGATATTTTTCATATACAAGTAGTATATAGTATTACACAATACACACACACACAACAACAACATATATTAGAAACAATTTTTAGAGATTTCCAACTAATTTAGCACAGCCAATACAGCTTTTAATAATTATAAAAAGCCAGACAAAGATTCTTTACAGTTGGGTTTTCCCTGTTCTATTTTCTTGCTCCACCCAAGAGAGTGAAATTAATGTTTACAGCCAAATAAACAAAACACTACTAGTGAGCATTATATATTCACTGTTGATACAAAAAACAATGGTAAGCATTGTCAAACAACTGTGCATCTGCATGGATTCTCTAACTAATTAGCTAATTTAGAGATAAAACTGCCGAGTTATTAATGTCCAAAACTACTATCAAGAAGACTGATATTGACGGGTGATTCGCTTCACAAGTTCGGACAATATATATAATTAAGACACAGAAAAAAAGCCGTTTGAAACTTTTATATTGGTAGTACCGATTCTTTATTTTATTTTTGCTGCTAACGTACAAATTACTTATCTCCTCTATTCATCGTTTATCTTGATCTGTGGATTAGACAATGACAAAAACAAAAATCTAGAGTATTTGTCAGGAAATCCCCAAATATTCGAATTCGAATTTGCAAAAATTTCAAACTCTAAATCTAGTCATAAATATTTGCAAATAGATTGTTAAACTTTTATAATGCTAAAACTTTTATACGCAACTAATTTTGAACTTTTTCTTGTCACATTTCATTAGAAATTTGATTTCTTTTTTTCTGAACTTTAAAATGATAAAAAAAAAAGTAGAAGAAAAGAGAAGAGAGACATGTTCATTTTCAACATATCCGGTCCCCATATTAAAAACCAAGCAACAATAATTCACAAATCTCTTTCTTTCATCTTCATCTTATTCCTCTCTTTATCTCCCTCTCCTAGACGATTGAGCTTCTTCTTTATTTCCGGAGTCTTCTTTAGTCTGCTGATCTCTTACAAGAATGGCGTTTGCAGGAACTACCCAGAAATGCATGGCTTGTGACAAGACCGTTTATCTTGTCGACAAGCTAACCGCTGATAACCGGGTTTACCACAAAGCCTGCTTCCGATGTCACCATTGCAAAGGAACTCTCAAGGTTTGATCCTTTGATTCTGGCTCCTTATATTTCTTACTGTATTGTTTCATGATTTTCTGATAAGCCCTGAAGTAGATCTAGCTGAAAACAAGACCAATCAATTAAGTAGAAATCTTTAGAGTTCTTGGGAGATGAATCTGATTTTGTTGTAAAGATGTGATTGTCTTGATTCTTTCTTTGTTGATGAAACAGCTTAGCAATTACAACTCCTTCGAAGGAGTCCTCTATTGCAGACCACATTTCGATCAAAACTTCAAGAGAACTGGAAGTCTTGAGAAAAGCTTCGAAGGTAAAAAAACAAAAAACAGATCAAAATGTGAAAACTTTGGGAGGGAGTGGGGGATTTTGAAATTTGGAAATATGAATCTAAAGTTTGATTCTTTTTTATTCATAGGGACACCAAAGATTGGAAAACCGGATAGGCCTTTGGAGGGAGAGGTAATTTTTTTCAGACAATAAAGCAAAAACCTTTTTCTGTTTCTTGATTCTGTTTTTGAGGTTCTTGAACTATAACAGTTGATCTGAGAGTGTTTTTTACATTACAGAGACCTGCTGGAACCAAAGTTTCGAATATGTTTGGTGGAACACGAGAGAAATGCGTTGGCTGCGATAAAACTGTGTATCCAATCGAGAAGGTATCCTATCTAAATGTTCCCAAACCAGAATCAAGTTGTTTTATAAGACGATTTCTTAGATTGTTTCCATAACTAATCTCTATCTGTTCTCTTGGCTTAAACCAGAGCTGACGCATTCTAGTTTCATTGTCAAACATTAGAATCTTTGACAATGCTACATTTTTCCATAACTTGTGACTGCTTTCCTATGTGAAGGTGTCGGTGAATGGGACATTGTACCACAAGAGCTGCTTCAAGTGTACACATGGAGGCTGCACGATAAGCCCGTCGAATTACATAGCTCACGAAGGTAAGCTTTATTGCAAGCATCATCATATTCAGCTGATCAAGGAGAAAGGAAACTTGAGCCAGCTCGAAGGAGGAGGAGATAATGCCACTAAGGAAAAAGTCGTTGCTGCTTAATGAAAACAACTCAATCTCTCTGGATGATTTTGGCCATCAAAGAATCAAAAGCCGTCACACTACTTCTCCATCGATAACATATAGTATTGGTTTTGTTTCTTCTCACGTTTGTGTTTTTTCCCTGTTATGGTTTTTGATGTTGTTTTTTTAATTGGGATCTTTGTTCACTCTTTTATTTGGGTTTCTTGAGATGAAACAAGAGAAACAGAGAAATAATGGATGTTTTGCTTATGAGAATATATGTATTACGTTCAAATAACAATTGATGTAACTTAATTCCTCGTGAAAGAGAGTATATATGCTGCAGCTAATTGATCCATTCAATTGCTATCATTAGAAGACATGAGGAATTGCTATCATTAGAATACATGAGTATGAGATGCTTGACACGACGAGCCTTTCACTTGTAAACCAAGCATTAAGCTGTAACCCAGGAATCCAAATAGAACCAACTATAAGTAGTAGTATTTTTGCTTCCTCATCATCATCATTGACTCGTAGTCATCAATTTCAAATTTTTCTTTGTGCATCCCCTCCCAATACAAGGAAACAACCTTAACCTCGTTGGAAAAGAAGAATGGTGCATTGGTTTTTTCTGATTTTTGAAACCAGTTGTTAAGCATTGCTATTTAAGAGCTTGTGTTACTGTACTTGTTTTCATTTTTTAGTATTTATCCTCCTAGTACACATCTTTAGAGTTTCGGAGGTTGCAATATTTCTGCAAAGATAAAGATATATACAACAATAAGGTGGACGTGCCGGAGTGGTTATCGGGCATGACTAGAAATCATGTGGGCTTTGCCCGCGCAGGTTCGAATCCTGCCGTTCACGTTTTAGTTTGTTGTTTCTCCTTTTAACTGTTTGTTGGTCAACTTTTCTTTTGTCAACTTATTTATGACATAAGTGTGAATGATGGTTTTTACCTACATATTTAGACCAACATTATCAAGAGTATTTAAGGTGTCTCTTAGTATTAATAGTATTTAAATTTTAATCAAAAAACATAATAAACTTGTATTCATTCATTCTATAAATAATTTGAAATGTGCAAAACATTATGCGTAATTTCGGTTAGAACGTATTGTGTTTGAACATAAGCCTACGTACGAGACAAATGAAAATAATATACTAATTTCATAAAGTAGGAGGTTATACATATAGCCAAGCGATTCCTATAATGATGTTATCATTCCAACTATATAATAAGCATAACTTAGGTGAATATACACACATCAAATCATATATTTTTGTATTAACCTCTATATTTATACATACGTACACACATCATCAGTCAGCCAGACCAACCACAATCTCTAAAAATTTAATTTCCGATAGCACAACCATCGATTTTATGCTTAGTCCAGAAACTTGCGAGTTCGATCAAGCATCTAAAGCCAAAGTTCCCTTTTCATGGGAGCTGACGCCAGGAGTTTCAAGAAGGCACAACAAAACTGAAGATAATCTGCAATGGAAACTTACGCCGCCTCCATGTTCTCATGTTGAGTATCGTGAGGAAATCATGCAGAGTCCTCTTTTCATTTGTCCTTTCACACCTACTAATATGGTAAGGGGGACTTCGAGGTCCAATTTTTCAAGTTTCAGGAAGAGAGAAGACGACCCTTTTCTCGAAGCTTATAGAAAATGTTTGGAGCGTAGCCCGCTTCGTGTCTCTTCGTTGGGAAGAAGCGTTCGAGTTGATCAAGATTGTTACGCCAATAGCAAGAAGAAGTCTTTTCTTTTATGGTTGTGGAGTAAGTACTCTTGCAAACTTGGTACTGATGGCTGGACTAGGGTATCTCGATTCGTTAAACCCAAAGCAAATAAGAGAATCAATTCCACCAAGTAAAAAACATGTGTCTGTTTGAGATCTTGATCAAGTTTCGTTAAATGATTTTAAAGGTTTTTTCAATGTTCATCAACAAATTATAAAATCATATATACTACGCGCTCGTTGTATACTATAAACTATAAAGATATGTTTTGTTCGATTTTGTTGTTCGAAATTTATATTCTAATGTTCGAAGAACTAAATATTTAAAAAAAAAAAAATATTTGTCACTAAACGACAATGTTAGACCATTTTTGTTGAACAAAAAAAGGGACGAAAAAGGTGATCCGAAACACCGTGCCGTCTTTAGTTTGACTAATTCCACTACATGCCGTTTGTTAAACTAAAAAAGAAACAAACACTCGAAATCCTGAATCTTTTACTGTTGTCGTGAGAGTTGAGGAGTCCAAAACCGTCACTATCTTGCTTCTTCGGCGACCGTGTCTGAGAAAGTGAGACTCCGAGGAAGACTGAGGGGGAAGAAATAGATAGAGCGAAGACATGGAGAGCAGCGAGGAAGACGACGAGTACCCATATATCGAAAGCATAACTCCTCAGTCAAAGATCGATTCCGTTCATCAGTCTCTCACCGAAAAGGTCTTTTTTTTTTTTGTTCCTTCTTTCTATGCTTGTTTCACTACTTTTTCCAGTCCATTACACTTGGAGATACCTTATCTCAGTTGGGTTCTTTCCAATTTTACCGATTGATCTAGATTAGGACTCAGTTTCCCTCGAATTTAACGTATTGGCTTGAAAGTAGTTGAACCTAAGATTGTTCATGATTTGCAATGCAGGGAATTAGAAAGCTGTGCTGTGAGCTTTTGGATTTGAAGGATGCTGTGGAAAATATGTGCGGTGATATGCGTACCAAGTACCTTGCTTTCTTACGGTAATATAAGTCTAATTTTTGGTGTAAGAGTTAAGTTATATTCGATTGTGCTAGTTTCTGAGATTCATTTCTCTATGTTTCGTTTCTGTAGAATATCTGAAGAAGCAGTGGAAATGGAGCACGAGTTGGTTGAGTTAAGGAAACATATATCATCTCAGGGGATTCTTGTGCAGGATCTGATGGCTGGAGTTTGCCGTGAGATGGATGATTGGAATCGGTCCGCTGGTAATTCTGATGACGCTGAAGTCAAGGAGGATCCATTGCCTGATGAAGTCACTGATCCAAAGTCTGAGTTCCTGGAGAAAATTGATCTTCTTCTGGCTGAACATAAAGTGGATGAGGCACTGGAGGCGATGGATGCTGAGGAAAGAAACAGCTCAGACCTTAAAGGATCAGCCGAGATGTCCTCCTACAAATCTGCTTTTATGGAAAGAAAGGCGGTTCTTGAGGATCAGCTCCTTCGGATTGCTAAACAGCCTTCGATTAGTGTAGCTGAATTGAAGCAGACATTGACTGGGTTGATCAGACTAGGAAAAGGACCATCAGCTCACCAATTGCTTCTAAAGTTTTATGCCGCAAGCCTCCGCAGAAGAATCGAGGCCTTTCTTCCGTCATGTTCAAGCTGTCCAAACACTTTCCCTGCCACTCTGTCTAAGCTTGTTTTCTCTAATATCTCAGTGGCTGCAAAAGAATCCGCAGTGATGTTTGGTGATGATGATAATCCCGCATATTCCAACAAAGTTGTTCAATGGGCAGAGAGGGAAGTTGAGTATTTGGTGCGGTTGGTTAAAGAAAATGCTTCTCCTTCCGAAACAGCTTCTGCATTGCGTGCAGCCAGTGTATGCCTTCAAGATTGTCTTAACTATTGCAAAGTGTTGGAACCACAAGGCTTATTTTTGTCTAAGCTGTTTTTAGTGCTGTTCCGGCCTTATGTTGAAGAAGTCTTGGAGTTGAATTTTAGACGGGCTCGAAGGGTTATCTTTGACTTGACTGAAAATGATGAGGGCTTGGAATCATCCTCTGACTTTGTGACAATATTATCTGAATTTGCTATCGCTTCAGATACTACGATGACTGATTGTAGCATTCGATTCATGCAAATTGTGCAAGTAAGTTGATTTTGAACACTAATTCTACCATTTTCTTTGATTCTAGACTCATAAATTTACAGAAGTTTTATTTATTCTTTCAGGACATACTTGATCAGTTAACACACCTAGTTGTGTTACACTTTGGTGAAAGTGTATTAACAAGGATATTGCAACTTTATGATAAATACATCGACTTTCTAATCAAAGCTTTGCCTGGCCACTCAGATGAGGATGGTCTCCCTGAGCTCCAAGATAATACCGTACTCGCTAGAGCTGAGACAGATTCTGAGCAGCTTGCTCTTCTTGGAGCGGCGTTTACAATACTCGATGAACTTTTACCACAATCACTTGTTAAAGTCTGGGAACTCCAGATTGAAAATGGCGGGGGAGAAGGTGAGAGTAGCGCTGCCCTAAACAGTAGCGCTGCACCGGAACTGAAAGAATGGAAACGCCACATGGTTCAAGCATTTGACAAACTCAGGAACTACTTCTGTTTGCAGTTTGTCTTGAGCTTCATCTACTCCAGGGAAGGACTAACTCGATTAGACGCGCTCATTTATTTAACGGAAACACCGGATGACTTGCATCTGCCCTCTTTGCCGTTTCAGGTCTCATTCACTTTTTCATTCTACTTCCATAGTCCCGGTTTATAAGTTTTAGCACAGAGAATCAACGGTATCTCTTCTTATGCAGGCATTGTTTTCGAAGCTACAACAGTTGGCCATAATTGCGGGGGATGTTCTGCTTGGAAAAGAAAAGCTGCAAAAGATTCTACTAGCGAGATTAACTGAGACGGTTATAATCTGGCTATCAAACGAGCAGGAGTTTTGGAGTGCATTTGAGGACGAGTCAAATCCACTTCAGCCATCTGGGTTGCAACAGGTAGTAACACACTCTCTTTCACCACTCTTGTGTAACTCAGCTATTCTCGAGCTCAGGCTCAGCGGTCAAAGATTGAACCTTTGAAATGGGAAACAATGAAATTAATTGAAACTTGATGTTGAAGTTCGTTTCTTGAGTCTTGAATTGATATGGGTTAAAAGTTGGAAGTTTGTTTTTGTTATGTGTTGCAGTTGATCCTCGACATGAACTTCACAGTTGAGATCGCCCGGTTTGCAGGCTATCCGTTTAAAGTAGTACAGAACCATGCATCAGTTGTGATCAATCGAGCAATCAACATATTCTCGGAAAGAGGCATCAACCCACAAAGGTAATGACGAAAACACACTTATAAAATCTCTCCAACTGGGTCTCAAAATTGTAACATAAAAGTCTTATCTTCTCTTTCACCAGCTCACTCCCGAAGACAGAGTGGTTCACGGAGGCCGCCAAGTCAGCAATCAACAGGCTACTGATGGGGTCTGAGGATGCTTCAGAACCGGAAGAATATGACTGTGAAGAAGACGATCATCACATCGTCCTACCTGAGATAGATGAAGAGGATGAACACTCAGATTCCGAAGAAACATCTTCACTTTCCACCATGGACTCGTTCGAGTCATTTGCCTCTGCAAGCATGGCTGACCTAGAGAGTCCTTCCTTCACTGATTCAGAGTCTTGACCTCTTTTGTGTTTTGTAGCGTCTCCCTCAAACTCTCAAGTTAATATTAAATATTCCCAAAATATAAGCAATTTAACCAAAATCCAATAAATTCCCGGTAAAGTAGAAGGTTGTGTAACACATAAGCCCATCTTGGGCCCATTGGGATGAGTCGGTTCTTGAGTGTTCGTCAAGCACAAAATAAAATAATTCAGAATTCAGACAGTCGTTGAAAAAAGCAAAAACAAAGTCGTACGCGACTCTCTCTCTCTCTATCTTCTTTAATTTTTCCTTTGGGAGCAAGGCGGTCTACATATCACTTTCACCTCTATTTATATCTTCTTCATCTTCCTAGCTCCATTTTCTCCTACACAGTCCTCTCCCTCTCTCTCTCTATCTCCCTGAGAAAACAAGGGGCTAATCGAAATTCCCTGCGTTTAATTTGATATTTTCCTGAGATTGTTCGTTGATTTTTTTTTCTTTCGTATCCTGTTGCCAGGTACCAATTCACCCCCCTTGTTTATTTGCTTCAAATAATTTGTTTTATTGTTTTTTTTTATTTATCAAATTTGAAGCGAGATGTGTGTTGGTAGCTCTAGGTTTCCGAATTTTTCTTAGATATGATAAGTAGGTCACTTCTGAGATATTCGAAAAACTATGAATAGTTTAGAATCTTGTAACCCGATGTTGGGTATTTTTTTTTAATTTTTGGATTCCATTAAGGTTAATCGTAGAGCATATTATAGGGATTCAAATTTGGATTCGTTTACTTATGCTTATTCACTTTCGATATCGTCGTATTTTGTGTTTGGTGAAATTTACCAATGTTTGACATTGCTGAAATCTGATTATTCTTTTTGCATCTCTTTCTACAGAAGCTCTTGGTGAATAGTTTACACCCATTACTCCAACACTGACGGGTACAGGGTCTGTTTCTCTATCTGTGGAGTCGAGGAAGAATATGAGCTTTCATCTCAGGAGAGATAGGAACGATGATAGGTCTCGATTCAATTCTCAGCATACTTGGATTCCTAGAAGCTCATCTACCTCAGTGGGGGTCGTAAACGAGCCTTCTCTTCCTCCTACTACTGATAGATATTCTAGAAGCCTTGATACTGGTGCTGCATCCCGTCCTGCTCCTCCGCCCTATAACCAGCAACAGAGGAGTAATAACATTGGTCCATCTCCACCTAATCGACAAAGAAGAAATGAGGCTGCCGGAACCCTGCCCGATAACCAGCACCACAGGAGTAATTTCGTTGGGCCCCCTCCACCTAATCGACAAAGAAGAAATGAGGCTGCGGGAACTCTGCCTCATAACCAGCATCAAAGGAGTAATCTTACTGGTCCACCTCCACCGAATCGACAACGAAGAAATAATGCTTCAGGAACTCTTCCGGATAATCGTCAAAGAGTTTCATCTAGGGTGCGGCCTGTGAATCAGGGGAAAAGAGTAGCTAAGGAAGAGAATATTGTGATGGCAGACCCAAACTTGCCTCAACTTGTTCAAGAGTTACAGGAGAAACTGGTGAAGAGTTCTATTGAGTGTATGATTTGCTATGATAAGGTTGGGCGATCTGCCAATATCTGGTCTTGCTCTAGCTGTTATTCCATTTTCCATATGAATTGTATCAAGAGGTGGGCTCGAGCACCAACTTCAATTGATTTACTGGCTGAGAAAAATCAAGGTGATAATTGGAGATGTCCAGGTTGCCAATCTGTACAGCTGACATCATCCAAAGAGATATGCTATCGGTGCTTTTGTGGAAAGAGAAAAGATCCACCATCTGATCCATATCTGACTCCACACTCATGCGGAGAACCATGTGGGAAGCCTCTGGAGAAAGAGTTTGCGGTAGCTGAGGTAACTAAAGAAGATTTATGTCCTCATGTCTGTGTGTTGCAGTGTCATCCTGGTCCATGTCCTCCCTGTAAGGCATTTGCTCCACCTCGTAGTTGTCCTTGTGGTAAGAAGATGGTTACTACTAGATGTTCCGAGCGGAGATCTGTTATTGTTTGTGGGCAGCGTTGTGATAAGCTTCTCAATTGCGGGCGTCATCAATGTGATAGGGCTTGTCACGTTGGCCCTTGTGATCCTTGTCAGGTACTGGTAGATGCCACATGTTTCTGCAAGAAAAAAGTGGAGACTGTTATTTGCGGGGATATGAATGTGAAGGGAGAGTTGAAAGCAGAAGATGGTGTGTATTCTTGCAATTTTAACTGTGGGAAGCCGCTTGGATGTGGTAATCATTTCTGTTCCGAGGTTTGCCATCCCGGACCTTGCGGGGACTGTGACTTGCTTCCCAGTAGAGTGAAGACATGCTATTGTGGGAAAACGCGTTTAGAAGAACAGATCAGGCGTAGTTGCTTGGACCCAATTCCTTCTTGTTCAAATATATGCAGGAAGCTTCTTCCTTGTAGGTTACATACTTGCAATGAGGTATGCCATGAAGGCGATTGCCCGCCTTGTTTAGTCCAAGTAAACCAGAAATGCCGGTGTGGGTCAACATCCAGGGCAGTGGAATGCTACATAACAACTTCTTCAGAGACAGAGAAGTTTGTGTGTGCTAAGCCATGTGGGTGTAAGAAGAACTGTGGGAGACATAGATGTAGCGAGCGCTGCTGTCCTCTCATGAACAAGAAGAAGAATGATCTATCAGGCGATTGGGACCCACACGTCTGCCAAATACCTTGTGGGAAGAAGCTAAGATGCGGGCAGCATTCCTGTGAATCTTTATGTCACAGTGGACATTGCCCTCCTTGTCTCGAGATGATCTTCACTGATCTTACGTGTGCTTGTGGAAGAACTTCGATTCCTCCACCACTACCATGTGGGACACCTGTTCCTAGCTGTCAGCATCCATGCTCGATTCCTCAGTCTTGTGGCCATTCTGCTACGCATGGATGCCATTTTGGAGATTGTCCTCCTTGTTCTGCCCCTGTGGAAAAGAAGTGCGTTGGTGGGCATGTGGTTCTCAGAAACATACCTTGTGGGTTGAAAGACATTAGATGTAACAAGATTTGTGGAAAGACGAGGCGTTGTGGCATGCATGCTTGTGCCAGAACTTGTCACCCAGAACCTTGTGACAACTACAATGAATCTGAAGCTGGTATGCGTGTTACATGTGGACAGAAGTGTGGTGCTCCTAGAAGGGATTGTAGACACACTTGTGGAGCACTCTGCCATCCATCTGCGCCTTGCCCTGACCGTAGATGTGAATTTCCAGTCACAATTACTTGTTCATGTGGCCGCATAACCGCTACGGTCCCTTGTGATGCTGGAGGAAACAGTGCCAACGGTTCTAATATTGACTCTGCGGCCTATGATGAAGCCTCTATTTTGCAGAAGCTTCCAGCGCCACTTCAGCCTGTTGACGGAAACCGAATCCCTCTCGGGCAAAGAAAGCTCTCGTGTGATGACGAGTGTGCTAAGCTGGAGCGTAAGCGGATTCTTCAAGATGCATTTGATATCACTCCGCCAAATCTGGAGGCATTACATTTCAGTGAGAATTCTGCTATGACAGAGATTATCTCAGACCTTTATAGGCGTGATCCAAAGTGGGTACTGGCTGTCGAAGAGCGCTGCAAGTTTCTGGTACTTGGGAAAGCCAGAGGAAGCACAAGTGCCCTTAAGGTCCATGTCTTCTGCCCGATGCAGAAAGATAAACGAGAAACGGTTAGGCTAATAGCTGAGAGGTGGAAGCTTGGTGTTAGCAACGCAGGGTGGGAGCCAAAACGGTTTACAGTAGTTCATGTAACACCAAAATCAAAACCGCCAACACGGATCATTGGAGCTAGGGGTGGTGCTATCTCGATAGGAGGGCCACACCCACCGTCTTTTGATCCGCTGGTGGATATGGATCCTGGACTCGTGGTATCTTTACTGGATCTTCCGAGAGAGGCAAATATCAGCGCCTTGGTACTGAGATTTGGGGGTGAATGCGAGCTTGTTTGGCTGAATGACAAGAATGCTTTAGCCGTGTTCCACGACCATGCCAGAGCTGCTACTGCGATGAGGAGGCTTGAGCATGGTTCAGTATACCATGGAGCTGTGGTTGTCCAGAGCGGCGGGCAATCTCCATCACTTAGTAATGCATGGGGAAAATTACCTGGCGGCTCGGCGTGGGATGTTAACAAAGGAAATCCATGGAAGAAAGCTGTGATTCAGGAGAGTGATGACTCCTGGGGAGCTGAAGATTCCCCCATTGGAGGATCATCTACAGATATTCAAGCCTCTGCTTTAAGAGCTGCAAAGAGCAACAATCCAATTGCTACCTCGGTTAACCGTTGGAGCGTTTTGGAGCCTGAGAAGGCCAGCACGTCCAATTTAGAGTGTATTCTTCAGATAGAAGAAAGCACCAGCTCAAAAGCTAACGGTAAACAACCGGTGGAAGGGTCTGGTGAAGAAGTGGTGGATGACTGGGAGAAGGTATGTGAATGAGAGAGCATATTCAACTTGTTTTCGATGTATTAAAACGGCAGATTGCTCAGACGTCTATGTGTGTGCGACTGCTGTGACGAGTTGGGTCTATGCCCATTTCAGAGCTTAGGTGTTAGTCGGTGACGTGCCGTTTTTGTCTTGGCATCTTTGAGGTTTATTTGGTTATATAAAGTTATAAACAAACTATTTGATTGTTCAGTTGGCGGTATATTGTGCGAGTGAAGCGGCATGTTTTTCTTTTTAACATTGAAGAAATATTACAACAATTTTTCATTTTCTTAACGATGCAACTTGAAGTTATTTGAAGTTTTTTTTGTCTTATAACATCATTAGGACATAGGAATCAAAACAACCGAAAGCTTCAATAGTCTAAAAAAAATCAAAAGCAATCGTCGCCAGCTTTTTTTTGGGGTATATATTGTTTCCACTTGTATAACTAACTAGTGTTTTAAGTGGTTGAAAGTAACATTGGATTCGAACTCAAATCCGATAACACAAAAACGAAATTCATCTAGCGTGTTGAACTCGCATTTAGAGGACCTAATTAGTAAAAATTGTGGAACAGGTTGATTCTCATACAAAATTTCAGATAGAAGAAGAGCCACAGCCACAAACTTAGAATATTTGCTTTAGCTTTTGCCATCCAATAGAATTATGCCTTTTACATGGTTATTGCACTAAAGTAAAACTAGCAAGGAGAATCATGACAAGACAAGATTGGGTCTTTTATTCTTCTTCTGTCACAATGTTTTTATTTTTCCATATAGTGAAAAGAAACAAATCTATATATAAACCTCAATACTGAAGAGAAGTGTTCTTTTATAAACAAACAACAAAGAAGAAAGAAAGAAAGAAAGAAATGTCTGTGCAGAAAGGAGGTGTCAAGAGTTCTCACTACCAGGCAGAATCCAACATGGAACAAGATGTAATAATCATAATAAGTCAATTCTAGTTTCTTTATATTTGTTGGTTATTAATTTTATTGCTACTTGCTGACAAAATAAAGGATCAAACATGATTAATAAATAGATCGATAGAAAAGCATGGGTCTTTAAGCCAAGTGGTCTTAATTTCATATGGGGAGGTGATTCTCGGTATTGGGTCATCCCTAAAGAAGACAGGTTGGTTTGTGGTTACCTCTCTCAAATTACACTATACATAAACCGAATCAAACCGGTCTGATTCTCTCAATAAACAAGTTTCTGGAGTCTGTTTGTTTTCAGGACCCCTGCTGAACTAAAGATGGCGAGTTGGTTAGAAGTAACCGGTTCGTACAACAAGATTGAGCCAGGCAAAACATACCGAATCGGTTTTAAAATCTCGTTCACTTCTGATGCAACCGGATGGGACCAAGCTCCGGTTTTCATGTCGGCGAAAGTTGGAAAGAAAGGGAAGACAGTTTGGAAGAGGATCAAATCGGTTAACAATAACATTGAGAAACTCAAAGGCGGAACCGGACCGGTTAACATACCAGATGAGACTGATGGTCGTTTTGAGGTCTTTGTCAGTCCCAAGGTAGCTATTAACCAAGACACCGAGCTTCAATTTGGTTTGTATGAAGTGTGGACTGGAAAATGGAAGAAAGGTTTGTTGGTCTATGAAGCTTTTGTTGAAGAAGTGTAAAAGTGATTATGAATCCATCTCTAAAGATTAAAGATCTTTATATACCTTATAACTTCAACGTCCCAAGAACTCTTTTTCAATGTGTATATATACATATATATAATCCATCAATAAGAATAGAAGTTGTGCACATACACGCACACAATCTTTTACAATATTCTCAGCTCCAACTATAAACAAAGAGCTGATAAATCTTGTTTACCTAGCAAAATAACATCTATATCCAACAAATCGATCCCTTCTTCATCTAAAGGACTAAAAATGCTGGCTTACGCCTATGGGAGAATTCCTAACACAGCTGCCTATGACGTGCAAGTACAACGCCAGGCACACAGTGATTATAACTGAAGATTTGGCTCCAACATATTCAACTGCTTGGCGTCCTTTGTCTGTAACCTCTTCATGAACCACACTGATACTTTTTCTGAAACCTTGACATGTCTTCAACATTATAAATGCGATGATTGATCTTGTCGTTTCTAGTGTTACTCTTCCTGTTACATCGAACATAAACCTTCGATTGCTCGGAACTGCCAATGTCGTTGAGATAGCCTCAGCCCACCCATTACTCTTGATCCCATCCCCTGATCCCGAAACCATCTTGCTTCCCGAGGAACCATTACTCTTGAAATCCTCATCTTTGATCTCTTCTATCACATTACTTGACCTTGGAGATGTGAAGACTTCATGAGATGTCCTGACGATAGTCTCGAGAGCACCGTTACAAACCGAAACAAGAACGTCCTTGACACTATCCTGATGTTTTGGATTCGTTAACCCCTCAAAGATTTGATCATAAGTATTGATATCCATCGTCTTGTCAAGATAGACAGCAACTGCAGTGCTGGTGAATCTCTGAATACAATCAGCTAGAAGCTCTCTACACTTATCGTCACAAAGCAAATTCACCCATTTAGGTGTCTCTGACGAATCAGAACCCTCACATTTGACACCACTCTCGAGCTCATCAGAGTAAAACCCAAGAATAAGATTCTTAGCAAAGCTACCAACAATAACTGAAACAAAACCAGATCCAGCCTTTGAGAAAACCTTATCAATCACTTTATCAACAACACTAGACTCCGATTTCCCAATTCCTGAATCACCAACGTTGTTGCTAGACGACTCGGAGTTATACCCACGAAAGACACCGATCGTGACAGCCCGAGAAACCCTAGAAAGCGAATCCGTGAACTCATTCGACTTGGTGATCTTGGCGATCTGCTTCAAGCTGTTGGGGATTTCGTCTGAATCGGAACTGAGGAAACCCTTCAAGTCTCGTGTCACGATACTACAGGTCTCAGCTGAATCAGAGATCAACTCAGCTACAGAGACAATGGCACCAAGAATCTTCAAAAGACGTTTCCTTTTCCTCGCGACGGATGGCAAATGGTAAACCTTGTAAACTCCATAGCCAGAAACACCCGTAACCGCCATCAAAATCAGCCATTTCCTTCTTCTCTGAGACAAAAATAAACCCTTCTCTCTCAACCGCAGAAGGTCCATTCAACAATTGAATCTCACGAAACCCAATTACAAACAAAAATCACAGCTTTAGGGGAAACCCAGAGAGAAATCTAGGGTTTGTGATTGTGATCCGAAAACGATTGAGATTCTGTAATGGAGCCTAACCACATGAATGGAGACAGAAAGATAAATTAATTAAGGGAGATAAAAAAAAGAGAGAAGAGGATAAGGAAATAGCGATGCATGAAAATGAAATTGGCGTGAGGGTGAGAGGTGAGAGATTCTAAGATGAAGAATTCAAGGTTGGGATGGGTAGAGAGACGCCAAGTTGGATAACTGATTAATAACATTAATTTTTCGGTTCGGTTTGATTGGATAACGAACCGTCTACAATAACGAACCTTTTAAAAATTTTCCCACCGTTTTGTTTTTATATATAAAAATCAAAGATTATATTTTTTTTCTTTTACTTTTCAACAAAAATTGAAACATATAATTTTTTTTGAATATAAAGTAATTAAGTAATTTTGATATGTTCATTTCTTCTAGGAGACAAGTTAATAACTAAATTATTGATTCGGATAAACTGGATAACGAATCTTCTTTAATAACGAACTTTATAGAAATTTTCCCACCGTCTACCAAAACTTAATTTAATTATTGGTTTGGATAGATTAGATAACGAACCGTCTTTAATAACGAACTTTCTTAGAACCTTTCCATTCGTTTGCTTTTTTATATACTTATCAAAGTTTTTTTTTTTAATTCGCTTTGATTGGATAACGAACCGTCTACAATAACAAACTTTAAGAAAATTTTCCCACCATCTTGTTTCTATATACTTTTTAAGTTTATTTTAATCTTACTTATTTTTTAACAAACATTAAAACATATATAATTTGTTGAAAATAAGTTTGTTTAAGAAGATTGACAAAAACAAAACAATCTTTTTTTGTAGAATTTTTATTTTATTTTCAAATAAGGTAATTTGATGATGTCCATTTTTGCTACTGGGCAAGTGGACACGTTGCTTTAATAGACCGGAAATTTTGTGGCTTTAAGTGGCATCAGATGATATAATAATGCATGTCAAGAATACAATAGCATAGGGTGTCGGTTTCAACATTTCGATAAACAAATATATATATATATATATATATATATATATATATATATATATTAGTGAATATGCTTTTCTAACAAGATACATATTAATTAGTGAAACATGTACTGCACTCAGCACTCTTAAAGTAAAAAAAAAAAAAACATGTATTGCAGTCTAATTCAATATTACATGTTGCTAATCAAAAAGTTTATTAGCTATTGTCAGGTTGGGCCTATCAACATATTAAAAGCCCAATGGGTTTTATTCTTTCTTCAAACGCTATAACCTATTGAAGGGATGTGTGTCCAAGCTTCTAAGCTAACATTGACTACAACAATGAAAAAAAAAAAAAAAAGTTATTAGTTATCATTGTGTAGTATATTTTAGTGATAGTTAAGTCACCTTTCTTGCAATGCGAGCGATGGTTCATAGTGGCCGCACCAACCTCTTATCATAAGGTCGCACTTTTTTATTTGGATTGGCTCTTATTATATGTATAAGTGGCATTGCATGCGCGTAAATAGTAAGCAATACCTTGAAACCCTATCTAGTGGTAGAAAGTAGAACTTCATATTTCAAAATCAAGTTTTGATGATCAGGTTATAAGCCATTTTTACTATTTCTTCTCCTTTACGATGTAATGATTAGTCATTTGATAGTTAATCACATGGAATCTTATCATCAACATCATCATCATCATCATCAGCCTATTTGATTAATAATTAAAAAACGGAATATGCTGAGATGTTTCAAAAATAGAGTTGTTTTTCTAGAAGCATTGATATAGTTGTGTACATCCGACATGGCTCCAAATGTTGCTCTTATCTAATTCTCTCTGATAATATAATAAGAGAAGAAACGTCTTCTTTCTTTACAAATGCTATGTGCCCATCCAAAACCTGCAAAAGTCCAAACCCACCAATTGTTTTTTTTGTTTCTCCCACGCTTCCATATTTCTGTGTCCGCCGCACCACGTTTTTCAATTTTTTTGACTACTAAATTAAATAAATTTAGGAAGTTTCTAATAAACTAAAGTAGTAACAAAATATGTATTACTAAAACAAGACAAGTTTCGTAACTAGTAAGACTAGGAGGGAATCATACAGGTCTCAAGTTTTGATGTCAATAAAGTAGTTGTCAAAAGTTGTATCCATATCTTATCTCTTTTAAACATATATATATATATATATAAGCAACATTAGCTCAAAATGGCTGGGAAAACATACATATATATATATAAACAGAATTAAAAAGCATTCCTTGACCCAAATCCGAATAAAATCAATTTGAGCCAATTTTACAAGTAAGCTCTTTAAAATAATAAATGGGTGATTTTCGTGTCGTATTTTTATGTTTTTTGTTGTTGAAAATGAGAGATTCAGTCTACAGTCAATAATCGAAGAGTATGTATTTTAATTATATCTTAACATAACTTAAACAAGAGCAATACGTAATAAACAAAACACATGTTCGATAAAACTATATATCTATTATCTTATACATATTTGATATTTCTACGTATCGACGACAAATCCACAACCTTGGACTAATCCCGTACATTCAGGCTTTGACATTTCGTATTTTTTTGACGATTTAAATTTGAACAAAGAAAAACAAAAACAAAAACAAACTCGAGATTTCAATGAAGCAACGTCGAAGGCGGCGTAAAAACTACTTCCATGGTTATGTATGAGTCTTGTGACTTATCCAGTATTGGAAAACTGAAGTTCATCAAAATAACAATTTTATGTTACTACAATAATTTATTCGTTTGATCAACTCATATATAAATAAGAACTTCTGGTTGAATTATTCATATGTGTGATGATTGATATGTTCAGGATATACTTAATTCAAAGTCCAATCCACTAATGTAGCTCGTATTTAATTACAATCAAATTAATATCATGCTAATTAAATTAATGATTGGTTTCGACCGACGGGACCTCGTCGACTGCTCTCTCCAAACACTCTTTTACGACTAATACTTTCATAAAACCAACTTTCTTTTTTCTTTAAATAAATATCTAAACAAATACTTAAAGTCACGTTTGATTCTCTCAATTATTTCTCCTTTGACACTCTTTTCTTTTAATTTATTATTATTTTAAAATTTAATCAACATTTAAAAACCACATCATACTCCAAAAAAAACCAAACCCAACCTCATTCAGACATTCAGACAAAAACAAAAACAAAAACAAAAAAAAACCAATTATCCCAAGAAAGAAAGAAAGAAAAAAACCAGAGAGAAGAGAGCATGAAACAGAACCAGAACAAGTTCTTGAGAATAATCTCAACGCCTCTAAGAGCTTTAGGCAAGGCACGTGACTTTTACGTGAGAAGCATCACGGGTTGTGCAGCTCGGACTCACTATTCCTCCTCGGCCTCAGTCTCAGCTCCTTTTCCTAGGAGCCGGAGCTCATCATCGGCCGCCTTCTCCTCTTCCGCGTCTTCCCGGAGAACCACGGATTTCGGGATCGATGATGATTACAGCGAGCTGGTGAGAGCAGCGTCGGTGAGGAGTCTAGGGCACAAGAGCGAGATAGACATGTTGATACAAGAGAAGCTGCAGCAGCAGAGGCAAGCAGGAGGAGGAGGAGGAGGAGGAGGGTTGTTGTTGCCAAAGAGCTCGAGTGTTGGGATGGCGAGGATAGAGGAAGAGGAAGAAACAGAGGAAGGGTCTGTGAATCCGAAGATGAAGAAGAAGACTAAGAAAGTCTCTGATCTTTTGTATCCTCGTAGCAAATCCTACGCTGTTACTACTAGTGGCAGCCTTCAATTGTAATTTCTCTTCTTCTTCTTCTTCTTCTTCTTGATTATATTGTTAGTGCTTTTGTTGATTTGATGATTTTTTATCATATTTCTCTAGTCTTAGCTTTAATTTGTGCGTCGTGAAATAATAATAATAACATTACAAGTGAGCTAAACCTATATATGCTCTCGCTTCATATCCAAATTTTGGTTTTAATCGTAAGTTTACCGTAAATTCGACTCTCTCTTTGTTTTGGGTTCTATGATTTTCCATTTGTGTGTTGTTGTTAGTTGTTAGTACTCTATTTTTTTTTTTGGGAGGAAATAAAAAAGAGGAACCAAACCTACAATAGTGTCATTTGATAGACGTAACCGTTTAATATCAATAAATCCTAGCTAGATATAAATTTCGAATTTACTAGTTAACAACTGTGGATTGATTTCTTACCATCATATTATGACTGGTTCGCACATTCAAATATCACTAGTATCTCTGTGGAGTTTTACAGTTCTCGTAACCTCTAGTTAATATGTATATATGTTTTTATGAGTGACTTTAAAACATTTTTTTTCTGTATATGTATCTCAAATTTTCGGATTTATCATCATGTCACACTGATAAAGTTGTTATTAGATATATACGATGAATGATTAATGAATATTAAATCAAGGGAAGTATAGTGCTTTACCACTAAATCACGGAAAGGCTTATGAATCATCGAAGCTTGTAATCTTATCTTTCGTTTTTTTTCTTTTTTTTAATATCATATTATTGTTGTTGTTTTGTCCCCCACTGGCCACTTTGGCCACTGCCAAAACCAAATCTACTTTACCTAATCATGTATAGTAACAATAGATTAGAGGCTGCTACACTGTTAAAATAATGTTTTTTTTTCTCTCCAAGTTATCCTCCGAGTGTCGACAAAACTGACATACACTGAATCCAAATTGTATCTTAGGTTTTCTCAACTTTATAAAAAATATATATATAATCATCTTCTTTCCTTTTCGTTGTGACATGATCTCGAACTGTCCTCTCCTGAACAATTCAATATACATACAGTATGTTCCTAGTACGAGCTTACATGGGATTTAGTAGACTGATACACCAACGTCGATGGAATCTTCTTATGACTATATATAACAGATATATTGGATAAGTCCCAGATATTCCAACCCCTCCACTTTAATTATACATCGATTGACAAAAAAACAAAAATTTCTGCCAATCAACTTTTGAATTTTCGATTCACTTGGATCAGAGCATGACACAGAGCAGTAGTCCATTGATCTGGAGTAAGAATACAGTGAAAATTTTGGTACAACAAAATTAAAAAGACAAACCAAAATCGAAAAGAGTTTTATGGTTTATGGTGTTGGAGCTTTTTGGATTGCATTCAAAATCTCCCAAGATTCCTCTTCTCTGTGGGGCTGCTGTATCTATATAGCCAAAAAACTATGTATGAAGGTTGAAGAAAAAACCATCTCTTGTTTCTTCTTATCCTACTTGTCACGTCGGTCCTTGGGGAGTAAATCAGCCTTCCTCAATCTGAACCTGAATCTCATGCCTACATTAACAACACACATCAGAGTCAGGAGTACTATCAAAACATCTCATATGCGGTTACTCTGATATATTTAGAATCTCATCGATCATGGATCAAGGTTTAAGGCCTCTGTATACACTTCTAATTCAGTTGAAACGATAAGTAGTCTTAAAAATTGCAGGAAAAATCGTAGTAAGCATTACCTGTATTTCTAGAGAGGAACTTCAGAAGCTCATCGATGATGATAACCTGCAGTATTTACAAATTTGTTCAACTTAACTAATCATTTTAATTTCTTCGAATTATATCTCATAGCTGAAATATCCCCCTACTGTCATGCTTCTCCTTAACAAATTTGCATCCATATAGGAGAACTGACTAAGGTGTTAAATGGTAATGTTAGATTCCAGCGTGAGTGTTCATGAGAGTTCTAGTATACTATCCAGAAGAAACCTAAAGTGTAAAAACTTACTGGAAACGAAAGATACAGAACAGCAGTCCACTCGGCCCAGGACAATGGCGTGACCTATAAAGCAGCGAACATGAGATTGAAAAGAAACAGGTATGCCAGTTTTTGTAAAAAGGTTATCGTAGGAGGAGAAACTTACAGAAAATAAGACTGCCAGTGGATGAACATATAATATTAGCACGTGCAGAAGCATCGTCAGGATAATTGAACCAACAAGCCATAGATTACTCCTTGGGGTTATAACCCTACAATCACATACCTTCTTTACTAAAGCTAATATAACTGACTGATAACAAAGCAAACTCGTCAAAAGTTGCATAATCCAATGTTTGTTCGTGGATGACACTCCACCACTTATAGTCTATTCAATGACATTATACTGTATAGCATGGTTAAGACTCCCTAATGCAGTACACTCTATGATACCGTAGCGAATCAAACCAGAAAAGTCGATAACACGGAAAGAAAGAAGAAGCTGCGCTTACAGAAGGGATTGATTTTCGCTGAGGTTATTTAGAGCATTAAACATCTCCACAACAACAAGTACTGTCATAGCCACAGTAGACGGATGCCGATCCTCAAATATGCTGCAGGGATAAGTTGTCTCTCTAAGTGCGCACGTTTCGAAGTTCATCTGAAATGAGATTATTCGTTCTATTAGAGATAATAACGTTGGATATGAATTGTTTGCTCAGTAACTTGAGCAACAACTCCGAAAATGTGGAGGTTGACACACATGAATGATGAAATAATCTGAACGATGTAACTGGAGATAAACCTAACCAGTTCACTATAAGTAAGTTTGGGACCACCATCAGAGTAAACAAACCACCATATAAAGCCAGCAACAGTCGCCAGGCCAACATAAACTGTAACGAAAGAAAAACAAACCAGGCAGATAGGTCATTTAGAAGGATATAAGCTTGAAGGCACACATATAATAAAAATAAGTTATAGAGCCAACATTTTTAGTTTACCTCCGATAACCAAATAGCGGAAGAATAACCACCCAGTGACCACTGCTTCGCCAACCTGGAATTCAACAACAGTCAGAACAATAATGAAGACAAAAGGTCTGAGTAGTTTGAAAAGAAAGACACACTACAAGCAGACGATTGATAAAATCTAAATCCGTTCTTTAAGTTAAATGACATGATCTATGCACCATGGTCACTAAAACCCATAATTTTTGTAACGGCCGAAGAGAGATGAAAAGCATCATAAAACCTAATACATAAGCAGTGAATTCAAACTGATGCCAAACCGTGTGACAGCAATCGACTTTCACATTACTTCTCTCCATGAACTAAAATCTACAGGAGTACTGTCCTGTTACAGCTGCTACCTTTCGAGGTTTTGCCTTCATAACATCGGAATCTTGTTTATTGAAGCCAATGGCAGTGGCAGGCAATCCATCGGTTACCAAATTGACCCACAGAAGTTGAACCTACAATTGTTTACCATGACAATCAAAGATTTAGTATAGCTTTATAATAGTAAAAGACTATCACAAAGTGATGCAATTGGACTGACGAAAAAGGTTACTTCCAAGGTTAAACAAACTCACAGGTGCCAGGGTATCAGGGATTCCCAGTACAGCTGCAACAAATATACAGACCACTTCCCCTATATTTGAAGAGATCATGTATCTAATGAACTGCTTCGTGTTATTATATATAGCCCTTCCTTCTGCGACAGCCTATCAAGAAGCGTTAATTTATATCAGACTGGCAAGAAGTATGGTCAACTAAGATTTGCAAAGTTGATAGATGTCATATATGAATATCCAAAGTGTAAGCACACAGGAAAAACTCTCAGAAAAATGGAAGAAAGCAAACATACCGCAACAATTGAAGCAAAATTATCATCAGCCAAAACCATATCCGAAGCACTCTGAAAAGTTTTAATAGTATAGCAAAATCAAGTGAGACACTAGAATACATGATACTAATTGAAAACAAACAGTAGGTATATACCTTTGCTACAGCTGTTCCAGAACCCATGGCAATCCCAATGTCAGCTTTCTTCAATGCAGGGGCATCATTGACACCATCACCAGTCATTGCCACCTTGGTTAATAAGGTTCATGAGTACGACAGTTAGAAGCAAGAACCTTTTTCTAATAAGTAAACATACTACAGACTTGAAATGTTGAAACAACTCCATGACATACAAAATAAGAATGCATATGTACTGAAACGAAGAAGTGAAATGAATGACAACTTAGTGACCAGGGAAAGGGAATTACCACTTCATTTTGGTTCTGTAGGGCTTCAACAAGCATCCTTTTGTGGGAAGGTTCAACCCTATACAAAGAGAGAAGCAGTAGAAAATTATGGTTTCTCATAAATGACTATAACTCAAATTTTGGAGAAGAAAAGAGAAATACATGTGATAACTAAACTATCAGTTCCGCCATTCTAAAAATGCCATCAATAAAATGAATACAGGACCATATACCTGGAAAAAAGCGTCATCCGTCGCAATGCTAGAGTTTGCTGTACAGCTGGAAGCCGTTCAAATTCGGAAGCGGTGTAGGACATACCAGAAAAATCGCCCAGGTTGTCAAAAGCCCCTATTTTTCTACATAGTGACTCTGCTGTGGACTGAAGTTTAATGCTAATCAGAATAAATACAAAAAAGGTGGAGATAACTAACAAACCAAATGCTCATTTTTCCAGTACCTTGTTATCCCCAGTAACTACTATAACACGTATCCCAGCAGTCATACATGCAAGCATAGCCTCTTTTACTTCTTCTCTTGGTGGGTCAAGCATTCCCACCTTCAAAGAAACCACAAGATGACTCAGTCCTCAGCAGTAAACGTGAAATGGTGAAGCTTCGGTAAACCTAATTAAATCCATAATATTTGAAAGAAAGGCGTACCAACCCAATAAACGTCAGGTCGTTCTCATTATCATAGGAGATAGTTTGTTGACCCTGTGGCACGGTTTTAAATGCTAATGCTAAGCATCTCAATGTTTCATCGCCAAAACTGTTGCAGGAAGACATGGTTAGAAAATGAAAGAACCACTTTGTTCAAACCTTTAACAGCAAAAATACTATTAGAACTGAAAATACAAGCATAGAAATATAAAAATCACAAGTAATATGAAAATGTAATCAATATTCATTAAAAGAGTTGATGTCTTACCTGTGGAACCTCGACTCAAGCTCTGCGCGAGTAGC